ATTATTTAAATTGTAGATCCCACATTTCTCTGGAACCCTTGCACATTCATGGGTAATAGTTCACTGATTACAGGGTCATTCTTTTTCTTAATATTTAGACGCAGCAGCCGAATAACATTAAGCTTGGTCTTGAGAGTGGAAAAATATAAATAAAAATCAGTAAGATTCCATAGATATTGGGCCTTACATGGATACATCCATAGGCATTTGGCTTATATATCACAATTGACTTAAAGAAGATTAATAAGCTAATAAAGAAGTCGACTTTAGAACCTCTGGAGATGATTTCATAAAGATAAAATCTTCATAAACTAAAGAAAAGAGTGAGCATCCCTTTTAGAAGATGTGTCTTCAGTCAGAGGCTTTTCCAGAGCCGTTGCAAAGTCAGACCACTAAAAAAGGTCTTTCTACCTACAGCTATCCACATATATACAACTTATTGAAAAAGGCTGATTAGTTGCTGCAACATCTAATTTACCTTTGGGAATAATAAAGTATTTTTGAAAGTGATTTCAATTTGAATAAAAACAGGCAAAAAAAAAAAAAAAATAGCAAAACAACTGCTTCAAAAATATAGCTTGCTTTATATGAAACAAGCATTGGATTTAATGTAGTGCGCACCACCGTTCTGGAAACTATTACCAGAAACAGAATCGTGCTGCAATGCTGCCACTAAAGTACATTACCAGTTAAAATCATTAAAACTCATCTTTAAGCTGTTAGCTTGGAGGACAAGATGTATATACTGTATATAACTCATTAACCTTTTTCTTTCTTTGGCACATTGTTCTTCTTTGACTACTTGAGCTGATGTAACAAGTACATTTCCCCACTGTGAGATCAATAAAGTCAATCAATCAATCAATTAAATAAGTTATTTGTTTATTTATGATGTAGGATGCTGATTTAAAATAACTTTTTTAACACCAATTTTACAACTTCTGCTTCCGTTCTGTTCAATATGCTTGTTCTGTTAGATCTCAGTGCTTCATTTGACACCACTGACCACAATATCATCATTTAAAAACATTGCAGTACTGTATAAATACTGCATGTATACTATATTGAGAAAAATATTTGAGGCTTGATTATCAGTTTTGAAGTCCCTTTTCAAAAGAACAATCGTAAAGCAGATACTTAACATACTTTTCATTAAGCCCGTGTTAATTAAGTCTATGTGTTTAATTTTGTTGTATATCTATTGTAATTTCAAATGCTGTGTTTATTCGTTTTAATTGGAAAATCATTATGATTTGAGAAAATAAAAGCTTAAAGCATCAATCTGTATTAGATCTATAAAATTGTATTCATTAATGAATGGAGTAACTAAAATTGATTAACCTTTATTAAAATTCTAATTGATTTACTGTATATTTACTGGCTGCTCTAGCAGCTGCAGTAATCTGGAAAATGAAATCGATCTTTTACTTTATCAGAATTGTCTGAACTCAGCCACCCAGAAACATGAACTGCATTATTAACAATTTTGGTGAGCTTGTAGGAAAATGACAAACTTGAAGGTGTTAGAGGATAAACAGCTGGTCACATGTGCACTGTTTCAATCAACCTCGTTGACTGAAGAGCAAAGAAAGTAAAGTTTTGATGATGCTGCAAAAGTGGTGCAAAATGTGCTAAAAGTTAATGCTGTTTTTGGCAGAGCTAGAGTAGTAAGATTGATAGAGACAGAGGGCCTTCACCTACAAATATGGACATTGTCAGGTCTAACTCCAATCATAAGAGAGACTAAAGAGAAGACTGTATATAGTCAGTAGATCCACTAAATCTAGTTTTTTTGCCACTATTAATAATTTTTCAATTTTTTTTTTTATTGATGAAAATAGCCAGTCTATTGTAACTTGAAGGCTGTGTAATTGAAGTAACTTTTTAGAGTGAGATGACTTCTTTAATTTCTATGAAGCTCACAGACACACGTCTGCTACAGGTTGGGAATTATTCAATTCAATTCAGTTTATTTATATAGCGCCAAATTTACAACACATGTCATCTCAAGGCACTTTACAGTTCAACCAGATCATACAGTCAAATTGATACAAAGTTTTCTATCTAAGGAAAACCAGTTGATTGTATTGACTCATTGACTCAAATACAATCCCTCACACTAAGCATTCTTGTAGCGACAGTGGAGAGGAAAAACTCCCTTTTAACAGGAAGGAACCTCCAGCAGAACCAGACTTAGTGTGAGCGGCCATCTGCTGAGGCCAACTGGGGTTCAAGGAGACAGAAGCAGAGACACAAAAAGCAGCTGCAAAAGCGGCCCCGTCCAGAAAAAACACACAGCCAGGCAGACGAGCTCCGAGCCACCTCCCATGTCAGAGGATGAAAAGAGCACATCCACTCAGTCATTATCACTGATAATTTACATAAGCTTCACTTTTAAAAATATGGGCTTTCTCTCTACACCACACACAAAACACTTAGGGCTTGTTCTTCAAAGATGGTGCTAAAATACATCTGTTTTCTTTTTTTTTTTTTTTTTTGTGCATGCAATAATTCAAAAAGGAATTAAAATAAAATAAAATTTAACTGTGCTTTGTGTATTGTTATTTTGTATAAATACCAGCTCCTGTTCACTTGCACCAGTGCCAGCCTTTAGACCGTTTTTTTTATTTTATTATTATATTATTGCTTAAAATATCTGTACAGAATATCTCTCTATTTGTGACAATTTACCAATTCCTCTTTTATGGCAACAATAACTGTCGATATTTTTGTGTGTCAGATTGCACCTGATTTTGAGAAGTATTAAAACGATGCAAAAGCTGCAGTCACAGCCAAATTTCCAGTTTGGAAAATCCCTTTGCACATGGTAAACTACGTTAGGATATCTCCACCCATGAATTTGAGCAGCTGGGTCTTTTGAATAGGATCTGTATATTAATGATGACTGAAGTCCAAAAGCAAATCCCTTTGAATCTTTTTGAAGATCAGCTCTGCACGTAAAAACATGTTTTAGAAAAAGCCATGCCCCATAAAAAAAACAAAAAAAAAAAAACTACAAAATGCCTTTTATTACCTTTAAAAATCACTGATTAAAATAATATGAAAGGAAATCATAAGCTTAATTCTGTAATCTGCGCTTTGTTGTTGCAGTTTTGAACTCCAGGTTTTTCTTGTGAATGTTTAGAAGTCTGCCTTCAGGGGGCCCTTCTGCTGATTTCCTTTCTAAATTTCAACCTTCGGGCTCTAATGGGATGAAAAATGCAATCTTATACCATATTATTATTGATCATTCATTCCCCTGGATCAAGAATAGGACTAATTTTTTTTATAGATAGAAAACAGAGAGCAATGTTGTAATTATGGAATGTGTTTTACCTTTTAACCAGCAGGTATCTGTCGCACTGAAATCTCCTCTGATGTTATCATGATGCTGTGTCGAGACATAAATGGTACCGAAGTTTGGTGAAATTATTTCTTTGTATCTAGTTTTTAAAAATAAAAGGGTTTAAGATGAGGAGAAAAAAAAAATGAAGGGTTTCAGTCTTCGTCCAAATCCACTACACCAGAAAAGTTGCGCCCATTTTAATCACAGCAGCACCAGGAGGCTCTTCAGTGATTTTGCCAGGGTCAGCAACATTTTCAAAATGGCAGCGGGTTGCATTTTAATAACAGATGCAGCCTGGTGGCCCCAGCACAGAGACCTTCAGGCTGACGAGGGATTAATCTTAAAAAATGTTAATAGTTTTTCAAACAAATGAGAGTACAAATGCACATAAAGGCATGTGTGTATGGGAAAAGTGCAGCAAGCTGAAGACAGCAAAGCAGAGGTTGTTTTTTTTTTTTTTAGATGGCTTATGTCTTGGCAACCTCTGTGCCACTGTGAGGACATGACATGTGAGAGTGATTACATCCCTGATATTAGCTGTCATTTCTCTTCTGTGGCCTACTTAATGACCCCTGAGTGCACGAGGAAAATTAACTTTTATCAGAGCTAATCTCCTTTTCTCTCGGTCTAATTACACCTCAGTTTACAGCTCGTGTGTGCTTAAGTGTTCTGCCTACTGTAATTTCACGTCCTGTAAGGGCAGCCGTGGACAGAACAACAGAAAATAGCTTGATGGTAATTAAAGCGATTGTAGCAACCCTATCCGTGTTGCGACTGGCCCGCTGTGCTGCCGTTAATAGGTGAGAGATAAAGTGTATGAAATTATAGATGCATGCTTGAAAGGCTGGCAATTATGTGAAACTGAAGGAGGCTTGTGGACGGGACTATTAATCAGAAGATTGTGGTGTAAATTTTTCTGCGGCAAAATCCCATTAACATGCATTCTTTGAAGGTGACAGTGATGCTTTTGTGCTCCAAGAAATCGGCTTTTTTCAAATTCAAATAGGCTGCAGGATCCAACACTCTTGAGTCGTTTGGGTTTTTTTTAATTTAGGCTCACAAAACATGACTCATCAGCAAATTAACTTTTGGACAACTTCCAAGGTTCCCATTCATAATAACGAAGGAGAAAACAAAGAGTAGAATGGAATAGATTTTTTTTCTTACCTGGCAGAGAGGGTTAGTACAAGGTCTGTGCTTTATTTTGTTGTCTGAAACAAACACCTGACACTCAGTTTGGGGTTAATCGTAATCAGTTAGCGCTGATCCCCCGAAAGCATGAAAGGCAGGCAAATAATGATCAAAGCATATTAGGGGGAACCTGGAGGTTTTTCAATTAGTAAGCAGAAAAAAAATAATAATTACCAACTAGTTGGATAATCAATTAATTACAAGCAACACTGGCAAGCTTTCTCTCACTGCAGCTTTTAAATGCGATAATTGGAGCTTCTTTGTTATGATATGGCATTGTAATTAAGACTTCCTTTCATTTTTTTGCACTAATTAGACTAAAACCAAGGTCTCATTAGGATTGTTGTTTTTTTTCATATACCTGCATTTTTTCTTGTGTGCTAAAAGTGAAATAGTTGTGCAGTGAGTTGTTGAATTGGTTATACTGCCTTAAGCTGTAGTATTGTTTCTTCCTTTCCCCCAGATGCCTGCCTAACCTCTGCGAACACGGTGCCCGCTGCTCCCAGACGTGGAGCTCCTTTTCCTGCGACTGCTCTGGAACAGGATACTCTGGAGCGACATGTCACAACTGTGAGCACTTTCATTTTTTCAGCCCTTTCTGAAAGCTGCCGTCACACCTCCCTCTTACTCCGAGTCTACCGAGCCTCTTCGCATTCGACTCGGCTCACACATCCGTCTGCCTGTCTCACTCGGAGCTTCCCTCACTTTGTGCAGCTGAGAGGAAAAGCAAAAAGTAGTCCTGACCTCATATTGCTGCTTCTACTCACATATATGCACTTATTTTTTACTGCTGCATCCTTAAATAGCTCCCACTTCAAACTAGCTGTGATTTTAGGAGTTTTTTTTGTTTCTTTCCAGGTGTCATTTTTGACATTGCCTTTATATAGGCAGTGCAGTGTTGTTGGAAAGAGTGTGAACCCCCCGACCCCCACCATCTCCTTCTCCATGTTAATATCTTGTTTGTATACAGAGAGCCAGTTTTGGAGGAAACATGGCAGATAAGAGCATCTGCTGCAGTAAAAATTGTCCCTTTCATCAAACTCAGCTTTTCTATCAACAACTCGGAGCTGGAGGATGAAAACCATTGTAATTAAAACAGATCCACCAGTTTTTCTTTAATGGAATTTGTTTGTTATCAACCGGTTTCTCAATCTACCTTAACACTGCCTAAATTAAATTAAAATTTCCATTCAGTTTATTTATATAGCACCAATATCAAGACATTTTATAGGGAGGATTCAACTAGATCCATCAGATTGGTTCAAAGTTTTTTTTTTTATCTTTTTTATAAACAATTCAATCCATTAAGCTAACAAGGAAATACATTTAATGCAGTTTTAATTAAAGTTTTATATTTTCACTCTTTAAGGATGCAGGACAAAGACGCAGATGCCTGAACCACAGTCAAAGCTTCTTCCCTTTTTTAATGTTAAAGATTTATACATTTGGACATACTAGACGTTGGACTAAAACATACTTAGTATTTAACTCTTCGAAAAGGAATCCAGTCTTATCTTTTGTACATTCCAAAATGAAAAACAAAATAGAACCATGCTAACATAAGCTATATATTTCACATTTATTTTCAACTTTTGTATTTCAGATTCAAACCTGGGATAAAGAAAAAGAAAAACTTGGGAAATTTAAGTCTAGAAAATATTGAATCTTATAAAAATGAGGAATATTGAATGAAGTCTGAAATTCAAGCTCCTAAATGAGCTCGCTCTTAGCTTGTATCCGTTGGGCTGTGCTTCTTAAAGTCGTAGGCAAATCATATTTAAATGTCAAATCATTCTGTCTTAAACCTCTATATAAATGTACTCTTTATCATTTTGTCCCAAAATTTAGAAAATTTCTGTTTTAAAAAAAATCCTGTCTTAAAATCTGTGTCTTTTTTTCACTATCTTATGAGGCCAATTAGTTGTACATCAGCCTGTACAACTTACTTCAGCTAATCATATCAACGGTCATCTGTCAATCAAATTTTTTCGGTCATAGCATCTTGATTCATATGTCGCAGCTAAAATATCCTTTCCCATTGAGTTGCGTCCCAGTGTTCACGGGGATGGACGTCTGCGTCTTCTGCAGGCGTAGAGCTAACAGAACTGGCAGCGTTGCGAGGCAAGGGCTCAAACATGTACGGCTGGAAGCCTTCTACACCAAACCAAGCTTCTGCCGCCCTGGCGTCCTCTTCCACAACATCTTCGTCCCCACTTTCCTCCTCTAAATAAAAAAATGAACGACGGAGGAGACTCATCCACGACCTCCGACACTAAACTCTCCTCCTCTTGCATGTTTCTGCTGTCCATAGCATTCCTGGACAGTGTCGTTTCTAAGTCTCCAATTTAGTGCTACTTGGTCCCAATGGAATTTCCCATTTGGAACCTATTAGCACTAAGTTGCTAACTGGTTAGCAAGATGCTTCCGAGACACAGGCCACAATCAAACTTGCTTGCGAACCTTCAGACTTTTTGATTCTGTAATGTAGGATGTGATCTAGATGGGTGAATCTGGCCTCATCTTTATCAGAACATCCATGACTTCGCCAACTGCTATCCAAAACACAGAGGAAGACTGTATTAAGTTTATGTTAAATACAAGAAAGTCAATTTTTTTAATAATTTAATTAGAATTTTTTACATGTTAAACTAAATAGAAAAATTTCTATAACATTGGCTGAAGATTTAAAACTAAACTAGTAAATTCTTTACTTTGTAATAACTTTTCCACAGCTTTATGTTCTAGCGTTAATGGTTTTGTTTTCTTCTGACATAGAAATAACCACATTAAATTATATTTTTAATATTGCTACTATTAGATCACTGGCAGTGTTCTCAGCTAGAGAAGTAATAAAGTCAGTACAATTTTATCCCTATAGCACCTTTCACAGACACTGACATTACAAAGTGCTTCACTGAAGCCAAAGAATAATAATAAAAAAAAGGACAGAAAATGCTGCAGAAAATGTTTGTGTAGATAAACGTCTCTTTAGATTTTTCTACTTTTAAAGAGTGGGTTCTGTGTAGGGACAGCAGGAGAATGTTCCAAAGTCTGAGTCAATTATCTTAAAGTTCAAGGTGGAGAATGAGGCTTTGAAAGATCCTGTTTGCCTCTAGGAACCTGACTGTGGATTGCTCTAAATTAAAACAAAAAGATATAGGTAAACAGTACGTGGAGGTCAGCACAGGAGTAATATGTGTCCTTCTATTTGTTTTTTGTCAGCAGTCTCACTGCAGCATTTTGCAAACATTGAAGAGAGGCCAAGGAGATTTATTTCAACTGTTGAAAAGACTATTGCAATGGTCCAAACGGGAAAAAATAAAAGCACGAAAATCAACTCAGTCTGTCACACTCTATTTTGAAACGTTCTTTGTGTGATTGAAAGAGTTAGGAACTACTGTTTTACAACGACTGTTGAAGGGTAAGGAAATGTTTAAGATGACCTGCAGGTTTGGACAGTAAAGCAATATTGTGAGATACTGCCTTATTATAGGAATTTTATCATCAAGGGAATTAAGAGGGGTTTTAGTTTTGTTTTAATTTACCTGAACATAGTTGATATAAAGCAACATTGTGAATTCTGAAAGATGCAGACTGAGTTCTCATAGCTTGTAGATGGTGGTAAAAAGATCAATACGGCTGAATATCTTCAGCATATAAATAGTAACAAACATTTTTATGGCATTTTGAGATGTTAAAAATCCTAAAATCATTTTAATATCTTAAAATGCCTTAAAAGCCCTGGGATGACCACAAGCCAATGGTGCACAATCTTAGTAAAGCCCCTGTAACACCATGACGATTTAGCCAGCGTTTGCCTGATGTCCCAGAATCTTATAAAATGCTGGCATACTCTGAATTTCTAGATATTTTTTCAACGTTGGGTGTTTATATAGAGTATTCATAACAAGTCCAGAACAAATGTCCAACGACAGCCTAACTCATTCATAACTCACGGCAGCGTAATGTCCATGAAATGATGCACAAACCAGTCTCCTGAGCGGGGCTGCAATGCGCTAAAGGCACCCGGCCTGCATAAAAAAATTTAATTTGCTGTTTACAGCAAGCCAAAAAAAAACAATAACAATAAATTAAAAAAAAAGAAAAAGAAAGAAAGAAAGGTTTGCTTGTTTGTTGGTCGTGGGCATGGGCATGAACGTAGGGAGGATCCATCACACCTCACGTTCTGTCTCACCCTATGATGGGGATGAAGTCTGGAGAAGAACTGACAGTTTCCTCCTGTGAACCCCCTTTATACCAAAACGCTGGAACACGTCATCTGGAACACGTCAGATACGTTGATATGCATTGAAGATAAGTCCTTGATGAGCTACGCATTTATGCACAAGTTACTCATAGTTTCTGGATAAGCTAGACACAATGAGTAACTTACACTTAACGTAAATCAACAATCAGATAATTTCCTGTAACTTACTGTATGGCTTACGCTGGCATACGTTGAGAAATTTTTCGACATGCTTGGCTTATGTCAACGTGTGCCAGCGTGTTTCAGCATGCTTCAAATGATTATAACTTATACAAAACGTAACCATAATTTATCCAATGTAGGCCAGCGTTTTTGCCAGATTTTTTGTATGTCAGGCATATGCTGGTCTCAATCGTCAAGGTGTGACAGTGGCTTTTAACCTGGTTTATAAACAGTAAAAAAAATTGTTGCAAAGTAGACAATTTAAACTACTTTAACAGGAATACAAACCAAGTCACAGTCTGTGAATATGAATAGTATAATCCTTGTTGTCAAAACCCGCTTTTAAGTCCAGTAACAAAAATGAAAAGATTCTATCCCTTTAATCATATTTTTCCAAAAATGCTCAATACCAACTATTTACTATACGATCCAATACTGAGTAAAGTATGATATGTTGTTGACAATACAGATAAGTCACATTTTTGCGAATACGCCTAATGTAGCTGCTCTATAGTAGTGGTTTTAAAACTGTCTCTTCAGGACTCAATGTTCTGCATGTTTAGGGGGTTCCCTGCTTTAATAAACGGGTGATTAACAGTCCTCTTCTGGCCTTGGTGGTTGCTAAAGAGGAATGCAATAATCTGCTGCAGCAGAAATATGTCTAAAACAGGAAAAACTGAGCCCCATGTTTGAAAACCACTGCTGTATAATTGAAAATCCCTTTGAAATATTTAGTTAAATAAATACTTTAATTATTGCATGAAATTGTCTATACACACATTTTAAATATTAACGTAACAGTTATATATATTTCATAAACTTTTTTTTAACCATCTAATATATATATTTTAAAGTTTCACAAAGCTGTTTTCTATCTTTCTAAGTATAATCAACTTTAAATGATTAACTTGTTTGGAAATATTACCTAAATTGAGCATTTCTTCCGGTGTAAGAAGCGGAATTAATGCAGTTATTTGTTGGAAACAAGTATTTATTCTGTAACTTATTTTATAAACACTCTTATGAATATGTGTAATTTGAACTGCAGCAGTGTTTATTGCCATTTAAAGCTCCACAAATTATCACTCTTTAACTGCACCGTACATACCTGCTTTCTGTTTTGCAGCAGCAACACCTGTGCTCTTCCTCCTCTGCAATGGAAAAACAATCTGGAAATAAGTAAAAATGTCTTAAAATAAGCGTATTTATCCTTAATTTCAGTAGGTTAATGAGATAGTTTGCCAATAGAATTAGTATTTTTACTCTTAAAATAAAATAATTAAATATCATTTACTTGAAATAAAACAAAGCAATTGTGTTTTATTATTTTAAATGTAAATTATCTTGTCCCATTGGCAAAGTGTCTCTTTTACCTCCTCAATCCAAGAATAAATGCACTTATTTCAAGAAAAAAGTGACTCATCTAGATTTCGACTTTTTCCAGTGTGTCCCCATCACCAGTCCTGCATATTCTGTGTTGCAGTTTAACCTGCAGTGTTTGACCAGGCTGTCATGTTGCAACAACTTTTCACTGTTTTCCAATGGTCATCACAGATCACATGTGGGTTAGATAAAATAACTTGTTAGAAGAATGAATAGAAGATGATCTGCCTCTGTTTGTTTGAGCAGCGCATCATCCCTACTGACCAATTACACAGCCCACTCCCTACTTCCCTCCAACTCCCTGCAAAATCCCCTCCAACTTCCATCCACTGGAGTGACCCCCCCTCTTGCATAGTATTTTAATCTGACTCCACCCTTTCATTGAATTACAGCGTCTGACCAGGAGATGACGCTTCTCTTTAGATCTTAAAGGAATAGTACACCCAAAACATGATTAGCCTTCATTTTCTACTCACCCCCATGCTGAACAATACTCTGGAGTACTTTTTTGATATCTCAAATGCATCTGGAGATCTGGGAGGCTTCTTGCTGTCTGCTGACATTCAAATAATGGAGGTCTATGGCGCCCGAGGCAGAAAGGTCCATAAAAGTCCACAAAAAACGTGTCAATATTCCTCCATACTGCTCGTCCAATGTATTCCAAGTGTCCTGAGTGGGTAGCATCCAGAATTTACTCGAAACAAAGTCATTTAGAATGTTTTTAGAGCATAAACAGTAGTGTATAGGATTTCCTGAAAGCGCGCACCTGCGCGTTCAAAACGCTACGGAAGCCGGCAGACCAAACCAGATGAAAGTGCGCATTCATCGTCTGCTCTGCCAATAATGCAAGCGTAGAAGAAGAAATGTGCTGTTTACCTGTGCAAAGAAAGAAACAACGAAAGAAAAATGTCTGAGGACTTCAGTGTTGAGGAAGAGCATGAGTTCTTTGCCGAGCTGAATGCGCACTTTCATCTGGTTTGGTCTGCCGCGGTTTCTGTAGCGTCGTGAACGCGCTTTCAGGAAATCCTATACACTACTGTTTATGCTCTAAAAACATTCTAAATGACTTAGTTTCGAGTAAATTCTGGATGCTACCCACTCAGGACACTTGGAATACATTGGACGAGCAGTATGGAGGAATATTGACACGTTTTTTGTGGACTTTTATGGACCTTTCTGCCTCAGGCGCTGGGCACCTCCATTATTTGAATGTCAGCAGACAGCAAGAAGCCTCCCAGATCTCCAGATGCATTTGAGATATCAAAAAAGTACTCCAGAGTGTTGTTCAGCATGGGGGTGAGTAGAAAATGAAGGCTAATCATGTTTTGGGTGTACTATTCCTTTAATGTTCACAAATCATGACCGAAAGAATATTTTAGCACAAATATTGAATGGCTTCTACTGTTATCAATTTTCTTGTTAGTATCCAAAGCATAAAATGACTTTAGAATTAAAAGCATCAACATTTTAATTTAAAAGTTATCTGGTAACATCAATAGTTCCGTGCATTTGTTTAAGAGTTAAAAATACAGTGTGGCATGTGAGCTTGTGCACTTGATGAAATGTGTGTGTCGTATGGTGAGTGCGTGACAGTTGAGAGTCCTGTCTATGAAGCTAAAATCATAAAACATGATTCGCTTGAATGACGGCAGCGCCCTAAACCCAGTGGAACCATCCATGTGTTCAGCAGTCAAACAAATGAAATATGATTTTTCTCTCCCTATTTTTCTCTCCCATCCCCAAAAAACTTGTTGTAACTGACTGTATTGTAGAACAAAGAGATATTTTTTTTTCCTGGCAGCCGGTCACTGTAGCATTGCCGGCTAAAACATGAATAACTCAACTGGAGGCCTAATTTTTCAGCCGGTCTGCCATGCTTACCCGCTCCATGTCTCACTGTGAGGAGCTTCTGTGACTAAACTAAAAGGTTCAGAGCCTTCCCACCCGTGTTTTACACCACAGGCTTTATTTCAGTCTGTCCAGCTTATGGATAGATGATTTTCTAAGGTCCAGATAAAAGCTCCATCCGTGCATTCACCTCCTAAGACCCCTACATTAAAGAGTTAAATGGTCACTAAAATCTTCTATTTGAATCTTCTCCTTTTGCATCATCAGTTTGAATCTAGATCAATTTTTCTCTAAATTTGAGATGAAAAGGATAAGTTTTAGTTTTACAAAGATTACGTTTATTTTGCACTTCGCTTTCATAAATGAATCATGATTTCATTAAAAGATAATCCTTCTGTGCATCATAGAGGATGCAGCCACCTCCTGATTACCTCCAGCCCTGTTCATTTAGCTTATGGATAGAACCTGATCAGGTCCAGGAAATCCCACACATCCTGCCTGGAAGTCCTGAGTTTGAAAGTAGCTTCAGCTGAGGTTTTCTTTTGTTCCTATGGATATAAAAGAGGCTTATCTCTTCATCAGCAACCTCTTCATAAGCTATCAACACAAACAGTTCAGCACAGTTTATAAATACAGATTGGTTCTATGTGTCGGTGACTCATACATTTGAGACACAGGAGAGAGTGGGCTGAATCTGTGGAGATAACTATTTTTGTTCTACTCTTCTTTTTCCAGCTATTTACGAGTCATCCTGCGAAGCCTACAAGCTGAGTGGCAGCTCCTCGGGCTTCTACTTCATCGATCCAGATGGGAGTGGTCCCTTGGGGCCCACACAGGTATACTGCAACATGACAGGTGAGATCATGGTAGCTCTTGTCTTTTTATGTATACATTGTTCATGTATGTGAAAAAGGCGGAAAAAAAACATCAAAAAGCGTGATAGCGATAAAACTTCTCACTGTAGAAACCCAAAGCATTTGTCTTTAGTGATTTTATCTTTTTCTGCCACCTAATCTCTCGAGAACATCCTGGGTTGAAGATTAATTAAACATGGGCTGCATCAAATAATGCAAACTTGCCTCTGTTAAAAGGGCATCTTGTACAGTCAAGAGTCACTGAGAGCAACCACGTAAAAAAGAAAAAAGATTACAGCTGGAGAAGCTTAAAGATCTAAAGCCCCTCAGGTTGCCTCTGGAGGCTGTGATTTTCTGTGGAGTGTGGGCTTGTTAAAGACTAAAGTGTTGACCCCCATGAAAGGATCAATGGACTGTGTGAATCTCTTCTTCAGGATGGCTATTTTTATTTCTAAAACAATGTACGTCATTCTGATGCAAGCAGTGAACTTAACCGGGTGACAAATTAATTATAATATCCCTAATTTCTTAAAAAATGTCTTCCTTTTAAAATCTTTGGTCCCAGTCCTGTTGTTCACGGACAAATAATAACCTTGTAGTCTTATGTATTTATGCTGTTTGCTAGAAAAAAACAAACCAAGCTCCAGCAAAACAAACATGCTCAGCATGGTAAGCGTGCAGGTCTCCATTTTCTGCTCCAGTGTTGGACTTTGTACAGTAATCTTGCTTAAAAATTAAACAAGATTCTAGTAACATAAATACCTACCATTGCCTAGTTCTGGCAAGGTGAAAAAAGTAATTAGATTTTAGTAATAAGGAATCAATTAAAGGGAATTTAAGTGGTGATATTATTCTAATGGAAATAAAAGTTTAAAAACTCTTCTTAGCAATAATGGCAGGGTTCTCTCTGGGATTTTTTTATGAGTGAGGGGAGATGCTAAAACTAAATATTTTTTATATTGTCTACTCCAAAAAGTTAAAGTTAAAAAACAATCGACTAGATTTTGTTTTCCCAATTTTGAAGTTGTTTTGCTTCCCATCCAGGAAGCTTTTTTAATTTAAAATGTCTGGATTAGTGTTGAGTTCCAAGCTTTAAAGAGTAGTCAAACAAAAGCCTTTTTATGTCTTAGAACAGCGGTCCCCAACCACCGGGCCGCGGACCGGTACCGGTCTGTGGGTCATTTGGTACCGGGCCACATAGAAAAAAGTATATATATATATATATATATATATATATATATATATATATATATATATATATATAGATAGATAGATAGATAGATAGATAGATAGATAGATAGATAGATATAGATATTTAGCGACTATCAGAGTCTGAGTGATGTTTTATTTTGAAAAATATAAAAAATTGCGGTATTCTCTCCCAGTTACAGTACATCAGTCGGTGCATCTGTGCCTCTAGACACAGGTTAATTCAGTTCAAGACTCATCCTATCTATAACATCCTATCTTTGTGAAGCGGGATTTTCTGCGGTTACAGCGACCAAAACAAAGCTACAGAGCAGACTGGACATCAGGAGCACACTTTGTCTGTCATTTTCTCCGATTATGCCTAGATGGGACCGGCTTGTTGTTTTGTTTTTATGCTGTTTGTATTTGATTTTATGCCAGTCGTATCATTTTACTTGATCGTATCCCCCTCCGCTCCCCACTTCCCCCCCTCGGCCGGTCCGTGAAAATATTGTCTGACATTTAGCGGTCCGTGGTGCAAAAAAGGTTGGGGACCGCTGTCTTAGAAAACATGCACATTGAAACTGGGAAACCAGCTCCCCCCTTAATAATGGGAGTCGTTGAGTTTGTTGTTGCCCTGCAATACCCGATACTGGCCTATTCCTCTGAAAAGGCAGTCGTTAAGGGTCATTGGTGGCCTTGCTAACCTGACGAGATATTTTGTTCCCCTGCATAGCGGTGGGGGTTGAGATGGTATTGGGAAGGAATGAACTGCATCGTTGCGTTGTTCAGGCTGAAACCTGAGTCTCTGAGTCCCTCTGTTTGCGATTGTTTTTTCTCTTTTAACATAGATGGCTTCCTTCACACCCCTTTCAAACCAACTGTCTTCTTTATCTAAAATGTAAAAATTCTGGTCCTCAAATGAATGTCCTTTGTCCTTAAGGTGTATGTGAACAGCAGAATGTTGTACGGAGGAGGCAGCCCGTCTGTATTGAGCCATGCGTTTGTGGAGAGGTGGTTTGGTTTCTCCAATATAAAGTTCAGAGCTTTCCTCACTACACTGAACTTCATACACCACTCCGCTCATCTTAGGTTTTGCAGGTCAATAACAACCTCAACGACTCTCATTATTAAGATGGGGAGCTTGTTTTCCATGTTCAATGTACATGTTTTCTAAGCCATTACAAGACTTTTTGTTGAGCTACACTATAAAAGCCTGGAACTCAACTCTAACCCAGACATTTTGATTTGAAAAAGCTTCCTGGATGGGAAGCGAAACGTCTTCAAACTTAGAAAACAAAGTCCGGAGGTTTGATTTTTTAACTTTAACTTTTTGGAATGACTATAACCTGGATGACTGAGAATCTCTACTAGCATATATCCTCTAATGTATGCTAATAAACTCAGCCCTTATTTCTTTCAGCTTTCTTTCATTATCCTGGGTGGCAACGTTCTTACTGTGCCAACTATCAGAATGACCTAGGTGTTAGTCTGTCCCACCAGTAGCCACATCGCACACTAGTGCAGCAATGATTCTGGTTTTTTTTATGGGTAGGGAAAAATACAACAACCTGACTATCAACCGGTTCAGCTTTACAGATCAGTCGTTAGGGATTGTGAACTCAAAGGTTCCTCTTTCTGGCTACTGGTGGGACAGGAGTGTTAACCAGCCTGTAGGTGCACTCTGGGTGAGTTTTTTGGATGACAGAGTTTGAAGTTTGTCCATGTTTTCTTAGCACACACTCAAGATCCTAAAACAAACTGGTTTATCCGTCTCCTTACTACTATATTTGCACATTTGTGTTTGATTATTTTGAAACAGTAATCAGTGAGAACTATAGCTATTAAAGACATCAATTATGGCTGAGCAGGTTTTTATACATCTCACCTGGTATTTTCACATTTCGTCTTCACTGATCAGCTTTGAGGTTGGAAGGCTACATGTCCATCACCCTAATCTTTAGTTTCCTCAACAGATTCCCTCTCAGATTCAAGTTGGCACTCTGGCTGGAGCCACTCCAGAATTGTATATTACTTCCCGTCAGAAAGAACATTTGAAATGAAAGGATTATGAATAATTTGGGGCCTAACTGCATTTCTGTAGCTGCTTTGCACATCTGCTGAGGGACATTTTTGCCCATTCTTCTTTAAAACAGGGGCAGAATGGATGGAGTTTGAACATTATTATGTTTTATCTCAGATGGTAGAAGATAAAGTTGAACGTCTCGAATCTTTATATGCTTCTAATAGATTGCCTTCCATGATTTTCCTAGATTAAGGCCCATCCATCTCTTTAGGAATCCCCTTTTTTCCTTTCCCTGCTGGCAAACAGCAGTACCCCACATCATGATGCTTCCATTTATACATTTCAAGACGAGAATTTATCCCAATGGTCAAAACTTAATATTTTGCATACAGTTAAAACTGTTTTATCGCTTTGGCTTGTAAAAAACCAAGACTCTGGTACCTTAAGACCTATTTCAACAATGGCTGTTATTTTATAAAGTGATTTTTACCTTAAACGGTTGTCCTGTTAGCAGATTCTCCTACCTGAGCTCTGGTCCTCTGCAGCATAGTTACTATGGACATTTATTTATTTATTTATATTTTAATAATACTCTTCGTATTTTTGTCAAACTCTTTTGACTGAACAGAGCTCTGTGAGTGTGCAAAGCTTAAAATATTTCTTTGTAACCTAAACCTGCTTTAAAATTGTCTGCAACTTTTCTCTCTGAGCTGTCTGCTGCCTTCCTATAATACAATGATGCTGTCTGATTAGATTAAAGCAAATCAAATATAGATACAGTCTCTTCAAACTGGATTGTTCTGGGATTCATTGAAGGGGATGAGAGTCAAAGTGAAAACTAAAACTAAAAACTACAACATGGTGGCAAATTACCTTAAATTCTAGGGCTGCACCTAACAATTAATTTTGCATATCGATTATGTCAATTATTTCTTAGATTAATCGATTTATAATCGGATAGCCAAAGATTCCTCAAAAAAGACTTTTTTATGAAAGTAAACCAGGTGAAACTCAATCTTTTGAATAGAGTATACTGACAGATGGAAATTTTTTTTTGTCTTAAATGCAAAATGCTTATATATTTTATACAATCTTGATATAATTACTGCTGTAAGTGGGTCGCTCTATCAGCTAAAGTCATGTTTTAGAGTCTCTGTACTCCAGTTAAAATTTTATCGATTATTAAATTGGTTGACGATTATTTCAATTACCGATTAATCTGATTCATTGTTTCAGCCCTTTTAAATTCTTTAATACAAACCTTCAGGTTTGTGGTTTTCTCCAACCTTTAAAAGGTTCCAGTGGGTGTGAATACTTTTCCAAGGTGCAGTGCTTTAGATGTGAGACTTGACAGACTGGGATGCACCGGTCTCTGGTACATTTAGGCGAGTTTAGTTTTGACACTCTGGTGACTCTACTCATCACTTAACTGTCACAGCGTTCCCAGCTGCTTTGTCCTTTGCAAGGTTAATGCACTGATGATGTCATCACAGTGTTATCATACAGTTGGTGCTTTAAGTCTTCTACTTATGAGACAGAGACGGTCGAAAGCAGATATGCTTCAACTTGACCTCAATTAAGAAATCCATTAAACATGTAAATAACTATAAGCCACACAACCTGATGGGAATAATCACAAGTGGAGAGGGATTTTCTCTTAAGCTGGGCAAATATTAAATCCAAATAATGACGTGAGGCGATGGTGGAACAAGGTACTCCTTATCGGGTTTTATTGAACAAACTTTCTATTTATGTCCAAATGTACAGAGCTATAATGGGAGAGAGTCAGGGGTTCACAGAGAGTAAGTCAGCAGTGTAGGCTGAATTCTAAAGGTTATTTTCCGAGGATTAGATGTGCTCAGATTGGGGACAAAGAAGGTCGTCTGATTGTTGCTTGGAAACGTGTATCCATTTTCTTTTCAGTGATGCAAAGTGACAGATTTGTAAAATGTCACTGTCAACACTAACAGCTCGGCTATCCAACACAACACTTTGCAAATACCACAAACATCTACGTAGGGGCCTAATGATACGATAATGTAACGGTTGACATAAAAGATGGCTGATTTTGGACGGGGCTAACGTTTTAATGGATGCTTATTATTTCTTTTTTTTACGCATTTATGCTTTTCAGGAAATATATTTATAGACAAGTTAGATCATTACAAGTTAGACCAGATGTTTACTAACATCATATAAAAGAGGCCGTGACCCTTCTTCCCCACTGAAATTAGTATGGTTGTTTTAGTTTAATTTGTATTGACAAAATCATTTTTGTGGGCTTAACATGTTAGATGCCAAAAGCCATGATAGAGGATGCCTCTAAACAGCTGTGGAAAACCTAAGAGATTAAAAGTTTGTAAGTTTCGGATTAGTAAGGTCACTTTTTGAGTTTCTTCGAAGCACAATTTGGCCCGTTTTCGGAAAGCGGGACAAGTAAGGATTTAGAAAAAGTTCTGGGGTACATCTCTAAATAACAAGGATTTTTTATTTCATTATTTCGAGTTAAGTTTATTCTGCAAGTTACACAGTGAACCAACACTGGTCGTTAGCAGGATCTATTGCACTTATCACTCACTGCATATATTAGTTGAAACCTGACAGGAGAAAAGCATAAGAAATGGCATGTCCTTTGCTGGAGGAGCCTGGAGGCAAATGCTCATCATGCTCCAAAGACTTAGATGCATTTTTAATCCAGGATTTTTAGATTTTTGGGCATTCCTGTTTTTGCCAGTCAATAATTCATCTTAACGAAATTTCAGCCACAGATCATTCATATGACTGCATACTCCATTTAAATTTTTAATGCTAAAGTCAGGAATGGAGCCTCAACCCCTTACTTTACAGCACATATGTCTATCAGATGGATTGCACCGGATGCATGATGTCAGGGTTCTCCATTGGTAGAGAGTGTCCTCAGCTGCAGTGTGGGACTCTCAGATTCAAATTCAGGCTGTGGTTGGGGCAAACAGAGAATCTTCAGTTATTACATAGTTTAGCTTTAAATAGATTATATTTTACATCCAAGCTTTGCAGAAACTTAACATTTGTACAATAATTTTTACCCAACCCAACCCCTAACCCAGGAGGAAACCCTTTCCTCATGGGAATCAGCCAACTGGTCCTCACAAGTACCTCCAACTGCCCAAAATAAAACATATTTCAATTAAGCTGACCTTACATTGTCCCCACAAGGTGACAAATACATCAACATGGAGGGTTTCCTTGTCACAAATCTGCATGATGAATAAATGAAAAATTCCAAACAACTGAAATTAATTCAGTTTTGATATTTCAAGCAATAGCTGTTAATTTATTTTGGGTTTAGCCTAGATGGCAATCAGATTCACCACTTCTTCACTAAATAAGAAATATTATGTTGTTTTTTTGTTTTTTTTTTATGCTTTTAGGTCTTCCTTCATGATTAAACGTGTTTTTATGCAGCTTTTAGGACAGATTAACATCAATTTCAGAAGCATGTCTGCCCTTTTTTCTGATATGGTCATCAACCATGATTTAATTTGCTTATTTATTTATCCTTCATTGAAACCAAAAATTCCAAATACCACAAAGCAGAATAAGTTGATTCAAGATAACTATTCTCTTCTCAGACTAGGTTAAGTCCACTGTCTAAAACAGGGTCTGGAGAGTGTATTTAAGCCAACATCTCACACACTCTGCTGCATTGATTGACAGAAAAATAAAGCACAAGCAACGGTATCAGGAAGAGTATCATGCACTGTATCTAGTTAGCTATATCCATGGATATAATCTCTAGATGCCTGAAGGGGCCTTGATTATCTCTCAGATGATTTTATGAAATTTTAAACAGGACGGGAGCTGACATAGTATTCAGGAAGGAGACCTGTTCTGTGTCCCAGATATTTATGTGATATGTGTTAACACCAGAAAGAAAAGCAAAGAGACCTTCTAAAAATCCTGGTCTAAGCTGGAGAGAGATTCCTCATCCACAGTAGGGGTGGGTATTGCCAAAGAAGTCACGATTCGATTCGAATCACGATTCACAGGCCACGATGCGATTCTATCACGATGCATCATGATACTTGAATTATTGCGATGCATTGGAATATTTTCTCCTCCATGTTTTGTTTTTGAATGACTCGGCACAGTATCCCGCGGCCGGAAATGCTTGTGACACACGGCAGCGTGCGTCAACACATTTGCAGCGACATCTACTGGACTGAAAGTTGTATTACACTTGTTTTTGGCTGATGTTCGCCAACCATTCATGCAATTTTATTTATTCATTTTTTTTAATTAATAATCGATTCTTGGCATCAAGAATCGATTCAGTAGATCACGAAAATTAGAATCACGATGCATCATCATCACGATTATTTTGCACACCCCTAATCCACAGTGGCGACATATTCTGTTGTGACATTGGTCAAAGGGGCAGTCACATAAGAAGAAACCATTTCTATAAAATCTGCCTGAAGAATTTTATTACAGTTTGAAAATTCACTCAGGACACATTACCTGTGGTGTAATGAAACTAATGTCAAATAATACATCATAATGACTAAAAGGAGTTAAAGGCACAAGACATAGAAAGCCCTCCTTTCCATGAAGCAGGGGGCTAAAACATCATAGTCTCTGAGTGTTCTGCTGGAGGGAATCAACTACCTTATAAGGTATCATAGAAAAAAAAGTAAAATATTGCAGTAATATTTCTTTGAAAACCTCCTAAGCTGTCAGTAATGGGGAGGGTGGAATAGCACCCATGTGCAGATAGACAGGCAGAGGCCACATGGTGAGTTGGAAGTTTAATATTTAAAAAGAAAAGACTTATCAACAGATCATGGGTGTTTGCGTGGCTGAACAGATAAAACGTCACATGGTGCCCGTAGAGATTTGGGGCATGGAACCAGTATTCACCAGTGAAAGGTGAAAGTAAACTGACAGTATAATAAGCAGTGGTAGACAGGAAATAGCAAAGGCTGAAAACAAGGTGAACAGGGCTTAAACATTTAAGAAGAACTGGTGATAAAACTGTAAAACAAAATCACTGAATACATCCTAAAAAGCTGACATGAAAGTTAGTAAACTAAACTAAAATAAAACTCAGTGTGTACCATGGACCTGATTCTTAGACCCAGGAGCAGCAGTTCTGTTATCAGGGATGAGACACAATTCTGGTAAAGTTGTTGAGTAGATTCCCAAAGCTTTGAGCTATTTAAATAAAAGATCCAGTTAAAAAGCATATCCTTATACTGCAAAAACTGGAAATCTAAATAACTCATTTTTAATTAAATAAGTGCATTTGCTATTGAATTAAGAAGGTGAGACACTTTGCCAATGGAACAAGATCATTTACATTTAAAATAAGAAAAAAACTGTTGCATTGTCCTATTTCAAGTGCATATTATCTAAATATCTTACTTTAAGAGTAAAAAGACGAATTCCATTGGCCATCATCTAATTTACCAACTCAAATTAATGGTTAATACACTTAATGGAAGATATGTTGACTTATTTTTAGATGATCAGGAATGTCTGATTCACTGATTGTTATGCATTGCATCTAATATCTGTTTTCAGTTTTGATTATTTTAAAAAAGGTGTATGCTGACTTCATGGCGACAGATCCTGATTTTTCTTACAGAAAAGAAGGTGTGGACGGTGCTGTCTCACAACAGCACTGCTCCTGTAAAAGTCCAGAAGTCCTCTCCTCAGAGACCTCACATCATGAAGTTCAACTACAACGCATCAGCCGACCAACTCCGCGCCATCGTGGCTAGGTCAGAGCAGTGTCAACAAGAAGTAGTCTACAACTGCAGGAAGTCCCGTCTCTTCAACACAAAGGGTATGTTATCTCCTCTGGGAAGTGTTCCCTTTAAATCTATGCATTTCCTGTGGTCATTTAATTATCAGTATTAGATATCTTAACATGTAGGATATAGCAAAAAAAGCAAGAGGGTCACACAATGCTCAATGCAGGATGAATGATGATAAAAACAGGATGCACACAATAACAAGTCCCTTGTGGAGTGGTGTGAAAAATTATGTTCAGCTGATTCTGAGCAGACACTTAAAGGTTGCATGTAAACACTTTAGTCGTGAACCACCACCAAGACTGTACACAGACATTCGGCGACATTAATATAGAATAATGAAGGTTGGTTGCCATCTCATCACTTTGCCACCTCTCTTGAGAGTCTTCCTCAGATTCTTTTAGCTGAAAGGAAGTTATATTCTGCTGAACGAGGCCTCTTACATTATGTAATATCATCCGCATCTCGGGGGCGTGTGTAGGAACTAAAATTGATTGGGCGAGTTAAGCTTTGTTGAGGCTGGAGAACACGCATGCAAATTCAAGGAGGCCTCTGGACTCCTTACAGTAATCTAACTTCCACATTTCAGTGCTGAACCATGTTGTTTTCAGCTAACAGTTCTAAGAATTGTTGTTAACACTTTTGTCTGACTGGACTTGCCTTTATGTTGCAATGAAAGAAGTGAAATGCCAATGTAATTTTAACAACTTAAAAAATGGGATTAAAATTCCCTTATCATGGAAATTAGAAACTGAAACGATTAGTTTCCAAATATATATCTGCTTCAAGTCAAAGGTAATAGTGTCAGTAGGGGTTTATCCTTTCACATGCTGTGACTCACATGAATGTGACCTCATTACCTAACTAATTTAAAATAGGTGTTAACAGCACCTATCATGAGCAAGGTTGCCGTTACAACTAATGCAGTCTACTAAGTGTCAGAATAAAAATGTTTATGATAGAATGGCATTTTAGTCATTGATTGAAATGTCTCAGATATCACATAAAGACACTTTTAAGAACTCTGAGATATTTCAGGTTCTTTACAACTTTAGATTTCCATCTCTAAAGCCGGCCATACACTGTACGTTTTTTGCCCCTTTTTTGGCCAATTTTCCATTTGTGTGAGAATGTTTCGATCAGACCAACTTTCAGCCTGATGGTGCTTCGTGTAGTGTAAAGGGGGTCACATGTTTGAAATTCAGCAAATCGCTCAGTGCGCATGAGCAAACAAGGATTCTTCTTCTTCCTCTCAGACGAAAACACAGAAGCATGGCGGGGGTGCAAGTGAAATGGAGTTCTCTCTGTAAAATCGACAGACTGTAGTAGCCATGTTTGCTCAGCCATGTCTTTGTCCAAATACGTCGTCGCCTTTTCTTTATAGGGCTCTCAGAACACAAAAGTGCACAAATTGCAAAGGCAGCGTGTTTCACTCTAGTGACCTTCATATTTAACAGGAGGTATCAACTCTTTTTCTTCTTCTACTTGTTTGGTTTCCGGATAGTGGAGTCAGAGTAGCGCCATCTCACTGCGGAGCTGAATCTGACATGGATTTTAGACGTACAGTTTGAGCAGGTGTGACATTTAAACCCTGTAGTTTTGTTGTACAGTGTGAGCTGTAGCTGCGTGCTACAATTGAAAATATCATGCCGTGTATGCCTGGCTTCAGTTGCCAGGAATTATAAATCCTGTACTTGTGGTTAATAAATATAGGTGGACCAAAGTTATGTATTTACTCTTTGAAATAAATAAAGTTTTGAAGCTTTGTAACTACTTTATTCCAAGGTTAATGTATACTTATATGTAATTGTACCTTTTTTTTCCAAATTGAAAAAATACAGTTGAAACAAAGAATAAAACATGTTCATGACTTTAAAAGTTACAGTTTTACTTTTTATGAATGCCGTTTCTTTCTTTTTCTGAAGGTAAAAACATATTTCTAATGAATCAAAATTTACACTTTCAACCATCTCCTAAATTTAATTCGAGGAAATAAAAAAAGTTAAGTGCAACAAATTACAGTAATTTTTTTAAGTTGATCCAAAGTACCCTTGTTTTCTGTGTGGTGTTATTTTCTTTTTTAAGATTTTTGACACTGCATGTTTGATCAAGCAGTTGTGCAATTTAAATTTCTAATTCAGAACTGCCAAGTTTGAAACTGAGAAAACTCCCAGCAGTCTGCCTGTGTAAATTCTCAGTCCTCCGGGGTCATGGCTGCCACAAAACAGGCTGAGATTGGAAGGCAACCAGACTTTTGCTCAGTTTTTAAGACCTTTTGACACCTATCCAGGGGTCCTTCTCAGTTGTGTTAAATTTCGATTTTATTTATACAGTGCTAACTCACAACACGTGACATCTCAAGGCACTTTAGAAAAACAATTCAATCAGATCATACAGACAGATTGGTGGAAGGTTTTCTATTTAAGTAAACCACACTGATTGCAGTGAGTCATTGACTTTGCGGGATTCCCTCCTCTTGGATGAGCATGCAGCGACAGTAGACATTCACTTGCATCGTGTCTCTGAGGTGTCACTGCATTGTGTACAGGATTAAGCCATGAATTTATTTTTAAAAAGCCAGAAGGAGAATATGTAACCATTCATTAGGCAGCAGGGTGATGATCCGAAGCGCACCAGCTCCAAACCTTTGGTTTGGAACAGTCTGGAATTAAAGTCCCATGGAGCTGCTGCGGCGTGGCCGGAGACAGACTGTTTATGCTTGAACAACCTGCGACGCAGCTTAATTAAAACAATTCATAAAAGTGTTGTGGGTCAGAATCCCCTCACATTGATATGAGATACTTGTTGTAAGGTATCTTTAATTCATGGCAGCAGCTGTTGATGGGTCAATTACGTTTATGGGGAGGGTGGGATAGGATGGCTTTTTTACTTACTGAATGAAATCATTTGAAAACTGTACGTGTCATTACTTTGAATAATCTGTCTGATATAGATATGTATTTGAGAATCTAATACTATTACAAAAAGGCAGAAGACGAATAAATCTGTCTAGGGGATTGTGTTTACTCTGGACATGGTAGCTGTACTGCTGTTAATTTGATTCAGGAGTCTTGAAAAAGAGGTAAGCAGCACTATAAGTCGTCTCTTTGAATTTGCTGCAAAGCATTTGACATCTGGGAGATAGTAGAAAGAGCTCTGCAGTTCGATAAGGTCTTACATGTTCCCCCTCTGACTTTTAGTGGCATTAAAGGATTATTTACATTAAAAGTTCGAGCTTAACTGATATTGGAAGAGAAGTTGAACTGAAATCTAAAGCGCAAATAAAAAGCAAAGAAGGAAAAAGATTAACAAAAAATCAGCCCAAGTCCCTCATACATAAATACATTAATCAAGACTACTAATTAAAGCAGAAAAAACAACATTAAGTTAGTTTTTCAAATCTCTAATTTCCTAGAAAACCCATAAACTCTTATGGAGGAAGCAAAATGTGGAACATCCAGAAGCAGTCAGCACAAACTTGGCTTTAGACTCAAAGCTGCACCTTTTAATTTCTTGCAACTGTGCTTTCTGAGTGTTCTGTGCTTCACCACAGTCGGGAGTTGTTGTCTTTTCAGAGGCCCTCCCACACGCTTGTTCTCTCCTGTCGTTACATTACAATAAAACATTGAGGCTAGCTGCAGTCTTTTTGTACTCGTTCATCTGGAACAGTGCCGGCACCTTTGCTCCCAAACATCTAAACATTTTCTCTTAAATCATAAAACATTCATGAAGTCCCAGTTTCTGCTGTCCCCATGCACCATGTGTATGCAAATAAACGAGTTCATTATCGCATCCAACATCAAAGAGAGATTTGAAACAGCCTATTTTACAGCCGCATGAACACTTTCAGACAGAGGCTGCATTTTTAATGCTCGTCTTTGGTGGCGTAGCATCCACAGTGGATAAAGTCAAGTGAACCTTTGTTCTAACTTTGACTGTGGAGACAGACAGTCGTCCTTTTGATGAGAAGCAGAGTGTGCCGCATTTTCTAATAATTTTAAGACAAAATGGCACCTTTCATGCAAATTCACAGGAAAATGACAACAACAGCAGCTGTTCAAAAAAAACAAACCCTCTGGGATTGCAGATGTAGGCGTGTGCCAAGAACATCTGAAGTTCACCTCCAGTTGTGGCATTTAGCTGTAGAACATGTCTTTCCTGACTCCTCTGTTCCGTCGAACCTTCAGTGAATTCATTAACATTCAAATCGGTCTGTTTTAAGCTCATTGTTTTTTGTCTGTATACAGGAGCTACAATAAGGAGTGTTTGCTTTGCTTAGAAGTAACTGCTTTCAATGTGACAACATAAAAAAAGCCACTTCCAACTGTGGGATAATTGCTTCTTGTCTTGGTGTCCTCCTCCTGTGTTACTTGTTGTTTTCACTCGTTTCTAGGAATAGTTTTCTTATGGTGATACATTCCCTGATATCTAACTGCCAGCTGGATAGCGCCGCTGCTGCTACACCATATAAAAGACATTTTCAGGATATGAAATATTAGCCTTTGAAATTTTTATTTATTCATAAAATGGGTATTTTTCTGTTTTTGCTTTTCTTCAAACACCTCATTAATTTAGATCAACAAATCTTTTAATTGGATAAAGATTACCTGAATAAATCTAATTTAGTTTAATAAATTAAAAAATGCTTCATTTATTTTCATTTAAGGCAGTCTCTTAGGATCAAAGAGCTTATTTTCAAGAGAGACCTGTTTGATTAAACAGAAAAAATAACTGATGTTTTACAAATACAATTTACCCCAAGACGAGAAAAAAAACATCCTTTAAAAACTTCAAAAGAGAGTCTATTGTTTTGTGTGACCAGAATTGATTCTACTATGGACTTAGGAAATAGGTTAAGTCACCCTCTCTGTATTCTACTGCTAATCCACCTCAGTAGAAAGCTAGAAATCTATGAAGGTAGATTTGTTTCTAGATAGAAGAGAATGTGTTTTCCGTTGTTTTGTGTTTTTTTGAAGTGCAAAAAGTTGTGAAGTTCAAATTTTTTTGAATGAATAATCTTGACACAAACGTTCCGCAGTTGGCGGGTGCTTCTCTATTTGTCAGACATGTTTAATTGACAGAGTAGAGTAGAGCTAATACATCCTGATATTTACACTGCATCAGATACTATTCCACTCATGTTATATAGGGGGAACATTATGTGACGGGGTTTATAGACCTGTCAGATACGGTTTCCCCCGTCTAACATGGGAGGAACGTTATCTGATGCGGTGTAAATATCATCAGGCTGCATTACCTCTACTCATGGGTGTGAAGTTTTTTAACAGGGCGTTCAGATCTGGTGAGTGTATGAAATTAATAACTGGGAATGTTTAATTTTGAAATCCTGTGTGATTGGGTTGTTATAGATACTGCAACATCTATCTATCCATCCGTCCATCCTGATTTCTCCCTTTCTCCATATAGGCTAACATTTGATTGTTCTTGCTCTCCGTAGTTCCCCTGTGGCGCGAGCACAGAGCGGCTGTTAAGCTCATTTAGCGAGCATGCACGTTTTCTGTTGCTTGCACAGTGAATTGTGCCGCCTACGCCGTGCGGAGATGCAGGGGAAATCGTATATGACCGAAAAACGTAGCTCGACTTGTTAACACTGGCAAAAAGCTTGCTGGCCAGTGGCGACCATGACTTCCTCAGAAAGATGTCCTTGATGTACACACTTGTCAATCAAACATGTCTGAACAATAGAGAAGCATCCGCCTGCTGTGGAATGTTTGTGTCAAAATTATTCAATCACAAAAATTTGAACTTCAAAACTTTGCACTTAAAAAAAAAGCGATTTTTTTTTTTCACTTCAAAAACATTCATTCAATACTCTTTTTTGCATTTGCAAAGTTTTTTTATTTGATTGATTTTTTTTTTTTTTTTTTTTGATTGAAACAACTTTTTGGGAATTAAATGATTAAGACACAAATGTCCTACCCATGTATGGCCCAAACACAAAATAGATTAATTCAACCTAAGAGAACATTTTCAATAATAAAAAGTGTTCAAATGCAATTTTTGGAGTCTTAAATATTTTATTTGCATTCAAAAACTATTTTCTATGATTAAAAATGTTTATCTTTTCATTGAAGTTACTTTTTTATTGATTCTGTTGTTTGTTTGTTTGAACCAACTTCTTTTTTGATTGAGTAATAAAGACACAAATATCCTACCCATTAAATGGTCCAATCAAAAAACAATGTTACTTCAATTAAAAAAGTTGCTTTAAACAAAAAAGACTGCACTTCTATCAAATAAAATTTTCAATCAAAGAAAAGCAGAGTCTCAAATATATTTTAGCATTCAAATGCATTCAAATACTTTTTTCTTTGATTTCTGAATTTTTTTCATTGAAGTGAAGGTTTTTTAATTGAAAATAATTTTTTTCATTGAAGCTAACTTTTATTTGATTGAATGATAAAGGAACAAATCTACCTTCATACAAACCCAACTGGTGGGATTTAGTGATATGATGGCTAGCAAAGATAGAAACGGTGCCGACAGAGCAGATTTATAATATGATCTTCAATAGTCAATCTTATAGAGAAACAACATTGTTCATTGTTCAGAATTGGATACAGATAAAAACTCTGAGCTGTTACTGTGACACTTATGTTTGTGTTTAAAGTTAGACAAATTGTTATATGATGCTGTTAATATTTTTTTTAAAGGTTAAACCTTTTTTTACTACCCTAATAGTTGGACATTTAACAAATTTGATTTGTTGTATTCATTTGATTACAACAAAGTGAGGCTTCTTACTTAGTAAACCTCAAAACTTTACCCAGAAGTAATCAATAGAATTATTACACTGATTTAAGTGACTGCATTCCAGATGTTTGCTTTATTGGCCCCTTTTTCTGCGACTTCCTGATGTAAATGAAGTAACCCTGGCAAACACCAGCACGTTTAGAGGGCTGTTTGTTGTTGGAGCATCTCGGCAGAGATTGGGGTCACGCAGCAGGAGGGTGACGCTACCCTCGTCATCCAGCAGTGCCTGTAGAGAAAATGTCTGAAATAAACCAATTTTGTTGCATTTCTCTAAACATATTCTTGATCATTTTTCAAATTTAATGCTAAGCAGCAAATGTTTTGCTGGAGGTGAACACGGTGTAAATTAATAATAAAGAAAGCATTGTTTTGGTTTTAATTAGCTCTTCAGAATAAGAGCCTCCCTTGTGCTTTGTATTCTAAACATTTAGGTGCTGTGTTTGTGCTGAATGTTGGGTCTGCCTGTGGGGCATCATGCATCAGTGAAACAGGAAGACACATTTGCCTTCTTGATGAGAATAAGTTGTGTCAATATGAGCCAATTTGAGCGGGAGGTCGACCTGCCCTACAGGAACTATTGATCGGTGCCTTTTCTTATTTGCGAGGCTGTTTGCGGTTCGAACGATGTTTGGAAGAAAAGCAGATGGATATTTGTTTGAAAAGGCAGGGCAGACTTTTGTGATGCAAATGTTGCTGGTTAGATTGGACAGTTTTGGTAGATCAAGTACAGTGTAGATTAGAGTCTCTCTCTAGTTTTCTTCTAATACAGACAGAGTGGTTATTCTTTACAGTCGCAGTCTCTTCTATGGCATGTGCATCCCTACACAAAGCTTTGCTTAATGGAATGTAATATCTGCAGGAGGTGAGCACTGCAGCGGGTGACACCTGGTTATGTATTGTGACACGTAGCTTAATGGGCTTCTCTCTGCTGGCTGGCCTCTGTGCAATGCAGGGTCACATTGTGTGATGGATGATTGAAGCTGGACCCCCCTAACACTTTAGTGAGCGTGATAAGTTATGATTTAACAGCACAGCTAAAGCTTTACTGTCAATTGGCTGGGAGCTGAAGGAAATGGCTCATTTGGTTAATGGATAAATTCATGGAAAAGTAGTTCACTTTGTCATATCTGCTGAGAAATGTTTGTCTTTTTATACAGAATTATATTGTGGGTGTGTTAAAATGGTTATAGTGGTTAAAAGGAGAACTTGTGTGTTAGATCTATTTGTTCACGCGATAAAGGGGCAGCTTTTTCTGGGTGTCCCAGATCCGTGCTGGAGTGCACCCTTAAAATGGTTTTAACTAGTTATTTCAATTCCGAACAAATCTTTAAATTAATGTAAAAATATTAAAATTTTAAGAGTGCTTTTAATATTAATTGTGGTACTATTTTATAAAGAAACAAAATTCAAACACATAAGACACATGTCCATGCAGATAATCGGGCCTTCAGTGTTCTACCCTCTCCTGAATGTGTATTTTCTTTTTCATAATAACAATAATGCCTCTGAAACAGCCCAGAAAAAGTTTTTTTTATGTAAAGTCAGTCCAATTAAGTTTATTTATGTTGCACCGATTCCCAACCACATTTTTTGCAAGTACTTTCTAAAGCATTGGAAAATGTAAATCATTAACGTAAGCATTTGCTCCATGGGTAACTTAATCTATTAGAGAAACACAGACAACATATACTCTTAGCTAGCAATAAATCCATAGGATGAGAAATAGAGTGCATGCTGTTAGATGCAGTAATAGATCTTACAATTTCTGTGTCTTGGACAGAGAAAGGGCAAATCCCAGAAAGAGAGAATCAAGTATATCATCCTCAGAGCAAAACATGGAGCTGTTTAGTGGAATGGATCTACCTATGGCCCCCTTCAGGATTTTGTCAAAGCTTAACAAAAGGTTACATTGAACTTCTTCGGATAGAAAATCGAAATATCAGAAAAATAAAGTTAATGTCAGTAATGAATGCTGCTAGTGCATTCTTTAGAGGAACTTCTAAAAGAATGAAGAAAAGTTGTCTTTACGTCTTCCAGCAGTCTAATCCCATCACAGCATAACTACAGAGATAGATAAGGATAACCTGAGCCTCTAACTTTGCTAAAAGTTATGTTTTAAGCCTGTTTAGAAATAAACAGGGAGTCTGACTTAAAAGACCAGACCAGAATACTATGGCTTGAATAGTATCGCATTGAAAAACACCAGATTTTCTTTAATAATGGTATAAAGCTGCCTCTTCATTAAGGTACTGTAAGTTTGCAAAAGATATGTAGGTTAAAAATCAAAGCCAGCCACTGCATATTCAAAAGTATTTCCAAGAGGCTCTGGGGTAATTTATGTTCCTCTATTTATATTAAAAAATATCAAATGATCCAAAAAATCTAAAATGCTATATTGTACAAATTGTAGGTTATTACATAATAACAAAAGAAGCAATAACTTCTTTAGAAGTTAATCTAAAAGATTAAGCATCTGTGATTAAGCCTCCAAAGGTAGAGAGAACTTTAGTGAAATATATCTGTCTGTTTGTTATTTGATGCCCATCAAAAATAGCTTTTCTTATGATAAGTAGATGCAGGAAATGTGAATCAGAAAGATGCCCTGACTGACTGTGTTTGTGTTGCAGATGGAAGTCCGCTGTCCTGGTGGCTGGACCGTGATGGAGACAAAAGGAGTTACTGGGGAGGCTTCCTTCCTGGAGTACAGCAATGTTCCTGCAGCCTGGAGGAGAACTGCGTGGATATGAATTACTTTTGCAACTGTGATGCTGATACAGACAGTTGGTATGAAATATGCATTTTTTTTATATTTAGAGTTAAATCTTTTATATATATACACAATCTTTATGTCACTCACAGTGTTTAACATATTTCCAGACAAATATTTTATAGAAATATTCTACTGTATGTAAATAAATCCCACACTTTAAAAAGGGAAAGACAGTGGTGTCTTGTCTTTCCACAGCTCCATTTCCCCCCCCCCCCCTTACAATATGTCTTAACTGACTTAAGAAGCATGTTGTTATGTGAAACACTGCAATGATCAAAGCTTGTGGACTTTACCAACTGACAGGAAAAGGGCTGCATGCCTCTTTGCTTTGTTTTTAGCACAAAAGAGGGTAGGTTATTCTTTATGAAATAACATAGTTGTGTCTCCTACTCCTACTTCATTATTATGACACGTCTGAGAAAACTGGGATTTATGCAAATACATTTGAGCAGAGAAAGGAGGCTTTGAGGGGGAAAAAAATAATCTTTCTTTGATGTGGTTCATTTCGTATTTATTAGGTTCTTAATGATTTTATTTATTTACCAACTAATTATTTATTGATTATTCTCATTTCAACCCTGATAATGAACTCATATTTTATGTCATGCTTCGTTATATCCAACACAATAATCAAATGACGGCCTCTGCGATTCAGCATCTTTTGGTGCGAGTTTGTTTTCTGTTCAATTTTTTATGTTTTAAATGTTTGATTTCAGCTCAGCAGATAATTATTATAGCTTTGTTGGAATATTTGTATGAATGGTTGCTGCTTTAGTACTTATAGTGTTTCTTGACACCATGACATTTACCAAAGAGCTTATAAAGAAAATTACATAATAAGCAAATAATATATTTTGTACATTTATTTTTAATTAGATTAGAATAGAAAATCCCTTAATTGTCCCAAAATAGGGAAAATCTGGTTTTTACAGCAACAAAAAGATTATAGACAAATGATCCTTTAACCTATTGACAATATCTTGAACCACATTTTGAACATAACATCTCTTTGGCTGATCTAAAAAAAGTTTCTCTTATATAAGATTAGACTGGGTCTTGCTTATGTGTGCAGAACAAAGAATAAAACCAAAAAGGCAGATTGAAGAAAATTTAATTTTAACATGATGAACAGATGCAGCATTGAAGCTTGGTGTCACACTAAGGTATCCATGAAAACAGCTGGCCTACATTAGATGTACACTCTTTCACAACCAGCTGTTATATGATCAGCTAATACACCACAATCAAATTGGACTAGATATAACTTAATCAGACTAAATTATATTTTCAGGTGTGCTAATACATTTACATACCATGATGTAATTCTGATTTTTTTAGTGTTGTTCAGAGAATAAATACGGAGCTTATCCAGGGTTTCCGCGGGTCCTTAAAAAGTCTTAAAAGGCATTGAATTCTTCAAAATAAAACTAAGGCTTTAATTGGTATTAAAATGTCTTAAATCAGTCTTTTGTAGGTCTTAATTTTTAAAACATCATAAATAGGATAATTTTATTACGATTTATTTTTGTAATCTAAATAAAACGTTAAAATTGACAATTTTTTTTACCGGTAATTTAAAAAAAATAACGGCTCACCATTATTGGTTCCGTCCCGATAACGGAACCAATAAAAGCGTAGTTGAGGCCGGGACATTTGGGAGATGTGCCATTAACTTTTTGTCTGGAAAATATGAGCAAGTGTAAATGTAACCAAAATTGTCTATCCAGCCAATTTTCTCCATTGCTAAAGCCAGGGAACATATATGAGGCACAGTGTATTTTGTGCAAGAAGTCATTCAAGCTCGAAACGATGGGAATTAAGGCAGTGGAGTCACATGCGAAGCGTGAAACACAAAGTGTCAAAATGGAGTTACGGAGAAACACCCGGTATTTCTCTGTTTTGTTCCACCCTTGTCTCTGCAACGCCTCCACTTATCACCAAATCAAACATACTAAGAAAACGATACAAAGAAAAAAAGCTGCAAAAAAGACTTAGCACTGGTTATGTAGTGGCTTTAAAACTGATTTGTTTTGTTACCTTCTAAAACAAAGTTTATAAATTCAGTTAAATAATTGTTAAAATATATCTGTCATTTGTGTGTTTTTAGCTTTCTTCCTGTATGGGAAGCTTTTCAAAATTTGAAACAGTGCAGGGGTTTATGTTAAAATAAACCTTTGGGTTAAGTTGTGTTTTTTGTGAATTTGGTCTTAAATTTTTATTTCAAGTGGCATTAAAAAGTCTTAAAAAGTCTTGAATTTAACTCTCCTTATGCTGTAGGAACCCTGTTATTGTTCTACTAATGCTCACTATCTCTGGAAATCAATGTATGTATAAAATAATGTTTGCTGTTTTAAAATCATAATGCCAAGCTGATACTTAGGTAAACTCCTCAAAGATTTACATTACTAGTTTCTTAACAGTGAAACATCCCTGAGAGCTTGAAAAGTGTTTTTTATTAGCTGTAGATGAGCTCGGTTATTTTCTCCAATGCTAAAACTTTTTTTTAGAAAAAGCTTTCAGTTCTTATAAATACTTGGGTTGTCTTGCATGAACCTGAGGTCTGAGATTCCCCCAGAGTGGCTCAGTCACATTGAGGTCAGGAGCCAGAGGTGGCCAGAACCGTTACCTGCCTCGCTGTAGTCAAAAACAGGTCGACTTGGTCTTGTCTTTCAGGATCATTGTCATGTTGGACAGTCCAACAAAGTCTCATGAGCAGCTTCCAAGCTGATGAAAACACATTTTACCCCATTGGTTCCTGTAATATTATTTTTGCCATCAATGTGCCAGAAAGTTCCATCTTCAATTTTGACTAATATAAGCAGAAATCATCAGCAACCCATCCCCATGGTTCACCAGAGGAAAGACGCACATTTCATCTTATGACTTCTCAGGAAATTATCATTTAAATTGTTGTCCCATCCCTCCAAATAACTTTGTTCCAGATGTTTTAAACCTTCTGGAGGACTAAATGACTTTCTGCTGGTGATTGGACCATGTAGACCATCCTTATTTAAGTGTCTTTATGTTGTGCATCTTAAATATGCTTACCCACTTTCTCAGAGTCCATTATCAGTGAGGGGTTTTATCTTAATTTAACTTAAATAAATATCTGTACAGTGAAGACAGCTTCCTATTACATCAACTGTAAATATTTAGAATATTTAGAAATACCCAGGTTATCTAATCCTTTATTCTGGGAGATTTTTTGTATTTCTCTTATTAATTATTACGATTTAGAGAGAAAAATGATAATTGTTTGATACGAAATGGCTTTATCCACCTACAATGTTTTTAACATTCTCTGAATTCATTCCAGGGAAGGGAACATTTTGAGAACAACTGTCATAAACTGTTCATGGTATTTTCTGTTAATTTAAGATAATCAGAAAATAATTGAATCTTTTTGTCTTTTAAAGTGTGTTGCGATGAAAATTGGGTATAATTGGAAAACTATGAGTAAAGTTGAATAAGTCAAACCAATAAAATCCCAAAATAATGAATCTAAAATTTGTAATGACCTTGATATCAACACACAGAAGTTTATGAGGGTATTTTATCCATATTCTGTGATTAGCAGCAGTTCCAAATCTTAATAGCAAGAAAATAAAAGCTAACTAAAGTCTGTGGTGTGGTCATGAAGTGAACTAAGCTGCTGCCCAGAAAAAATGATATAAAATAAATTGCAGTGGTAAAACTTCACCATTTGGCTAATTAGCAATTGAAGTGCTAACATGCTCAGCAGAAATCACATTAAAACCAACCTTTTTAGCCCCACATCCGCTGAACATTTTTTACATTTTGTTTCTTAAAAGTAATGAAGAGAAAATCCCCTGTTAAGCAGCAGTTATTATGCCTTCTCATCTCATCACTTGTAGCAGCTCATTTAGTGTTTTTGATATGAGAAATTTCATTAACATTTTTTTTGACAGCATTTCCTTTAAAATAATTAATTACAGCAAAAGCCTGACATAATGAATTACGCATCTGAATTATAATTATTATGTGATGTAGAAATGAAAGCTAATCATAATTTCTGTGTGTTGATTGGAGTGAAAGGTGAATATAAGGAGCTGGGCTGTAGGAGCAGCATGCTGTTGTTCACAGCATGGTAATCCTCTCCAAAGCTTCTCTGATCCCAGAATAGTTTCTATATTTTTACAGGCGCTTGTCTACATTATGGGAGATTTATCTCTTTACATTCTGTGATTGTAAAAGAATATACGACTTTATTAAGACCAGCATGAAGAAGCTCAGTCCGCTGTTTTTTTAATGCATCTATTTCCCTGTTTTTTAGGGCTAATGACACAGGCCTCCTCTCCTACAAAGATCACCTTCCAGTCAGCCAGATAGTGATCGGAGACACCAATAGGACCGGATCGCAGGCTGTCTACCACGTCGGCTCTCTGCGTTGTTATGGAGACAGTAGGTGATCACCTCGGTGCTGCAGCTGCTGTGCCAGATTTGGTTGCAGATGGAGGCAGATTTGAGACAAACAATGTTCAGACCGTGTCTTTCTGACTCCTGCGTTTGTGTTTGTCAGTGGATAAAGAGTTAAGAGTCCTTCTGCTCTCAGGCAAACCTGACAACTGATGGCAATATACCGTCTGAATATCTTCTGACGCCAACAGAAGGACACTGTCAGCAAGAAAAATTCAACAATCTTTAAATAGTTTTATCACAAGGTTTTAAATGAAGTGCGGAAATGTAATTGCAGGAAAAAAAAGATTTCAAACAAGTTGTATTTGTTGTTTAAAATGGATAATTGTTTAGGTTTATTATGATTACCAAAATTATGATTTTCTACTAAATGCCACAATGAGATATATTTTCTGTTATATGACATGATGTGAGGCTGAAACATGATACAATATTCTCAATATTTAGCATCAAGAACCCCTCCTTTATAAATTGAGATTTCTTGCAGAGGAAATCAATATATGTACTAGCAATTATCATCACAATATTTGTATGTGCAATGTCCACATCACAAAATTACAATCACAGATTTTGTACATTACACCAGCATTTGTCTTCTGCAGACAAGCTTTGCCTTAGGGAGCAGCTTCTAACACCTGGTGAACTTTTTTGGTTAGGGGTCCTGCTCAGGGACCCAAAGTGACAGTGTTGGCTTTGAAACCATGACCTTGCAGCATCTCAATTCAATTCAATTCAGTTTATTTATATAGCGCCAAATTCACAACACATGTCATCTCAAGGCACTTTAGTTCAACCAGATCATACAGTCAAATTGATACAAAGTTTTCTATCCAAGGAAAACCAGTTGATTGCATCGACTTATTGACTCAAATACAATCCCTCACACTAAGCATGCTTGTAGCGACAGTGGAGAGGAAAAACTCCCTTTTAACAGGAAGAAACCTCCAGCAGAACCAGACTGAATGTGAGCGACCATCTGCTGAGGCTGACTGGGGTTCAAGGAGACATGACCCAAATGCCCTGCACAATTACCACTAGGCCACCACTCCTAACTTTCTGTATTAATTTTCTTTATTCCAATAAAAGTAGATGGATGAGAATTCTACATTCTGATATTTGGTCTGCTGATATGTGTAAAAATGTGAAAAAAAAGTAAAATGGTAAAAGCAAAACCCCAGTCATATTTATTGTCACTAGGAATTTGCTTTGAGAAAGGCAAGAAAATAAAGGTAATAACATTTATGTAGAAGAGTAAAACCTATATACATAAATACATTTGCCATTGATGATCAGCACAAAACCTTTGGAGGTCCTTTCTGCCATCACCTTAATCTCTAAGGCCCTTCCAGTGTTTCTCTATTAAAGCCAATGCTGCTGTGTGTTTCTGGGAAAACAGGAAACAACGTGGCAGTTTGCAAAACTGCTGCAGAATCAGGATTGTCTTTACACAACAGAAGGTTCTAGGAAATGGGTACGATAGTTTATGGAGTTTATGGAGAGCTTAGTGAGGTCTTAATTCTGCATAAAGGCCGGTGTAGCGGTCACTGCCTTAAAAGCAGACAGGAAATCACTGAATCAGAAACAAACCCGTGCATTTCTGTGTGGGACCTGTGTGTTCATTATTGCATGAAGTGACCTAAGGGCAGGTTTTTTTTTTAAGTAGAAGTATCTAAAGAGGTGGCAAACCAGACCAAGCATGAAGTGTTTTGTTTACGTCCCAAACTCAAACCACATTTTGCGCGGATTACAACAGCATGCCTGCATCGTAAAAACTGACCCGTCTGCTGTCCACATCTGTCACACACTGAAAACATCTGGAGCTTTATGAAAAAAAAAAAATCCCACAAAGTGTTCAGCTGCTTAAATCCTGAAAACATTTCGCTTTTAAACCCCTGACAGCTGGTCTCCTCATTTCTCCTCAAACACTCTAAAAGATGAGCTGATGGAAAACAGAGGGAAACATTATCCTGTCACAGGTTTAATAAAATGATGCTGTAGATCCAGGACATGACAACGCTAAGAGCTAAGGTAGAGGGCAACATGAGAGGAAGTCCAATTGAATTCAGCTCAAGCATTCATGATGTTAATAAAAACAGCAACAAAAACTATTCTCCTTGGAACCAAAAAAATCTTGAGAAGAGCTACAGACTGTATCCATTATGGGTAACTAGAATGCAGAACGCCTGATGTTAGGTTTCAAGTGCTCAGTGCATTGTAGCAACAGATGTAAATTTACATTTTTTGACATCTGCCATTTTAGCTCCATTAGTTGTTTATATTTCCGTATCTATTATGATTGAAATTGTAGAGATGTCAAAAGTACTCACATTCTTAACTGAGTATAAGTGGTGGAAAGTGTTGGTCTAGTGATTAGAGCAGTGCGCTTGTGCTTTGAGAAGGTTGCAAGTACCCGGTTTGAGCCCCACAGCGTCCACTAAAAAATTAAATAAAAAAAAACAGACTCTACAATGCACTTGAGTACAAAAGTAAAATGAAGTTTTTGTTTTAAATGATACAAAATAAGTGAAAACCAACCACAACATTGAAAAAAAAATAGGTTAATGTTACTCTTTTGCTCTTTGTGTTGATAGAGAGAACATAAAACAATGTTTGGTTTCGTTCTAAATTAAAAAGACCAGATGATATAGATTGAGCAGAACAGAAGTTCCCAACAATTTGAATATTTTAGAGCTCTGGTATGAAAGAGTTACCTGAAACATAATCAGCATTTACATTCGAAATTCTAAAAAGTGCAAATGGATGGGAATGATCATTCATTTGCAATGTTTCCCAGCTGCCTGTCTACATCTGTGTTACTATCAGTGTCATTGTATAAACAAACTGGGTTGCAACTTGACAGACTCCCTTCTTTATTTTCCTTATTTTGTTTGGCTGTTGCATCATGTTGATATTAAAATGTAGAAAATTTACAAGCCAGTTAAAGAAAGTAAGGAGAAAAAAAGTAAGGATTTTTGTGTTCAAATGTAGTGAGGAAAAGTTCAAAATTACTCAGAAAACTAAAGAATGGATACTAAAAAAAGGAAATTTAATATACTAGGTATACTTTGTTACTTGACACCTCTTCCTGTTAAAAGGGAGTTTTTCCTCTCCACTGTCGCTACAAGCATGCTTGGTGTGAAGGATTGCAACCAACCTTAGATAGAAAACTTTCAATCAATTTGACTGTTTGATCTGGTTGAATTGTCTCTGTAAAGTGCCTTGAGATTACATGCGTTGTGTGGTTGACGCTACATATATAAATTGAATTGAATTGATGAAATTTAAATTATCAGAAAAGTGGCTAAATAAATAGAAAAAAGCAAACAGAGTCGCCTTAATTTAATTAGAAAAGTCCCATTGAGGTCTGAGCAAATCTAAAGAGAAGTTTTTTTTAACCCATAACCTCTTTGACAAGAGCAAATAACTTCACATCAGCTAGTTGTACACATGGAGGGGAGTATGGGGAGGGGGGAGGAGGGTCTCTTTTGTTTCATTCACTGTTCTTCCTTTTGTTTTTTTCAGAATCTATTTGGAACGCGGCCTCTTTCTACCAGGAGGCCTCCTACCTGTACTTCCCCACCCTGCAGGCAGAGCTAGCCTCAGATATCTCCTTTTACTTCAAGACCAGCTCTCCCTCAGGGGTATTTCTGGAGAACCAGGGCCTGAAGGACTTTATCAGGGTGGAGCTGAGCTGTGAGTGAATGTTAATACCACAATAAGAGTGATGCAGTACATCATGACTTGCCAGAGTGTCCACATATAAAGAATGCCCACAAAAGCCATCAGCAATATACTTTGCTCTTCTTTGGGAGTACTGTGGTTGACAGTTCAATTTCCCGGAGAAGCAGCCTGTCAGGTTTGCACAGCATGATGTAATCCCAGTGGCACAGTCAACAGCAATAGCTTGCTGTCATACACATATAGAAGCTTAATGAATTTGTCTGACGGGTGAAGTGGAAATAAAATGGAAAACCCCTTTCAGATTTACTGCAACATCCTCCTGAAAATTATACGTTTCCTCAAAAGGTTTTACTTTAACAAAAGAAAGGTACAAACCTGAGCTTTTAGCTAGCAGACGCTCTATTTGTTAAAGCAAGAACAACTTCAGCAATATGCTCAGGTGTCTGCAGACGCTTATTATCATGCGTTTTGTTCTCAAACCTGGGGGGGACGTTGTGTGGATATTTGGAGTCTTTATGTATTGCTGCAGCATCAGACACATGAAATATTGACAAGCTGTCAGCTGAGCTCCTTCATAAATGTATGCAGGTCATCAAGTTTTCAGCAGCATTGTATCAGGTTGCATCAGAAAGGCAGGATGGAGAAGAACCTCATATAAAACCTCATATCATATTCAGTCTGATCTGGCTCTATGTCTCCGTGTGTGTGTCCCTCAGCTCCAGCAGTGGTGACTTTTTCCTTTGATGTGGGCAACGGTCCGGCCGTCCTGTCCGTGAAGTCCCACCTCCCTCTGAATGACAGACAGTGGCACTACGTGAGGGCAGAGCGGAATGTGAAGGAAGCGTCCCTGCAGGTCGACAAGCTGCCCCTTCGTCTCCTGGAGGCTCCGGCTGACGGACACCTCCGCCTCCGGCTCAGCAGCCAGCTGTTTGTGGGTAGGCTTTCCATCAAACTGACTACAGCTTCACATGAATCTGTTTTTAGCTACATTGGGGGGAAAAAGAAAATCTAATAAATGGTTAAAAAGAAAAGTGTTTTCAGCTGTTATGGCCATCTATGTCAATTTTCTTTTAAATTGTAATTTTCATCTATTTAGCTTTAGCTTTAATTACTTTGTATTTGTATGCAATATATTCAGAGCCAAAACCTCTAAATATGAAATTAAAATAGTTTCCATTCCTCTGTTAACTTTTAGACCCTCACATTAACCCTTAAACAGGCAGGAGTGGAAAATAAGTTGCAAAAAATAATTAAATAGTATCACTCATCTCTTTAGGCCCTAAGTAAAATATTTCCACATTCAAAATGTATATATATTCAATATTTTGGATTTTATGAGTTGTATCTACCAGGATACGTTGCCCTATTAAGGTATAAACAGATCCCCAATGATAAACATACTACTGTTCAATTTGATGAATTATACATTGTTGTATTCCTTGGTCATTTACATTACACATAGCACTTTTAAAGTTGATTTTATTCATTTTTACCAATACTGCGATCAATATCCTCTTCATCAGAACTGCTTTCACTCACTGCCTCCAATTAATGCTTGCTGAACATTACTTCCTGATCTCCATCACTCTTTGACTCAGAGTCAGAAGAACTTGCAGGAATCTCCTCTATCACTCTCATTCCTGTGCTTTGCTTTCTTTTCCCATAAAAGGACCTAGCTGAGATGCCCTGCTTGAAAATAAATACATTTTTTTTTGAGTAAAATACAGTTATACTGTTATAATGGGCACAGCTGTACATGATAATATCTGGTACTGCAGTAATTATTAAAAATGAAATTTTTTATAATGCACATTGATCAGATTTCTATCCCTAATCTGGCAACGTATCTCAGGGGACACATACATTTCAATAGCTGCTAAGAAACACCACAAACATAGTTGGATTTTTTCTTCATCAGAATGTTTAGACAAATGTCCTAATTCATTTTAGGAATTTATATTGTTGTTTTATTGAAAATAAGTATGACTAATATATGATTACTTTTCCCCAAGGAAGCAGGTTCTCTATCACTGGCGGCCATGATGTTTTCTGATCAGGCTGACAAAACCATGATAGATAGCCTGAACCACATTATGTGATCTAGATGCTAATACCAGACAAGACTTTTGATAAATGCTAACTTGATTAGTGAAAACCTCCCAGCATACCCCCTACAGGATGTTAAAGAGTGTGTATCTCCTGGTGCAAAGTGCCTGTTTAAGGGTTAATTTGGAGATCGCTTTTGTGTGTCAAATGTTGGGTTATGACAACGACAGTAAAATATTGTAAAATATTCCAAAAGAGTAAAAAAAAAAAAACATTCCACTGGACTTTGTTTCCAGGTTTTAAGACGTTTTGCTCTCATCCAGGAAGCTTTTTCAATTAAAAATGTCAGAAATAGCATTGAGTTTGAGGCTTTATATAGTAGCCCAACTTAGAAAACATGCATATTTTTTCTGAGGGTCATTTTGCTTCTTTGTTAGCCTGCAATACCCATTATCTATCAAAGGGTATAAAACAGTTTTATGATTTTTTTTTTTCTTTTTTTAACAGTTTGAACATGTTTTGAAGTAAGATTATGTGAGCCTTTGTTTCATCTAAGATATAAGAAATTTAAATTATTGTTTGTTTTGATATTTTTGCTGGAAATAAACAACATCAATGTTCTTATTTTCATTTATTATAGCTGGAAGTTGAGAGACTCACAAGAAAGTGACGCCACCCAGAAAATTATAGAGAACAATAGTTAATTCATTCAGATGAACACTTTCCACTATTTTTTTTACCTCTTTATCTTTTTTTTTAGATCATGCTTCTATTCTATCTTTTTTAAGCATTAGACATGTTAAAATAGAGAAGATAAAAAGGTCACATTTATTAGAAACACAAATAACTTGACGTTTTTGTTGTTTTTTTTCAGAGAGAAAATATCCATAAGATACACATTATTTAATGTGTGAAATGTTGAACCTCAGGAGGGAGACTGTTATCTCCAATTGGTCTTAGAAAGCAGAAGCAGTGCCAGATACAGTAACAGAACCATTTAATCTCATGCTATACTTTACAAACACTTGACTCACTCAAACCTGAAAGTTGGAGATAGTTTATAACTATCTGACCATGAAATATTTTTTTATTATATATATTTTGCAACAAATAAAAAAAAAAAACTGTATGCAGCAAAACACTGTGAATCTCACACCCTTGATCTTGGTAATCACAGCCTTTGATAAGTGGAGCTCATTAAAAGGAACATGTTGAGGTATTTATTTTCTCACATCTAGACCTTTGTGATTTTTTAATATCTCTGCTGAATTAAAGGAGCTGACAAATAAAAAGTACATTGTGACATTAAAATGTTTTTTCTAACAGCACATTGTAAAAAATGTAGAACAATAAAACTGTACAGATTATGAAACAAATGTATTTGCAAAACACCACAAACATTAACTCTCTAATGTTTCTTTAAATTATTCTGCACACCTAGGAAACATAATGTCACTATATCATAAAATATTAAAGTTTTCTCTTTTCAATATACTTAAAAAATGGTGTCCAACTTGGTGTTTGACACAAAAATGCTATAATTTTCCGTAAATTGTAAATGGCCGGTACTTATATAGCATCTTTTCAAGTCAGGAGACTCGACCAAAGTGCTTTACACTACATTCAGTCATTCACCCATTCATGCAAGCACTCACTCAGCGATGATGGCGAGCTAGATAGATAGATGGTGCAGGTAACCTTCAGCACAGCAGCAGGAGCTACAGCAAAACTGTAAATTTAGTGTCACTTCTTTGCAGGAAGCTCCTCAGAACCTCCAACACCCCACCCTGCCCACCCACCCCTTGTTTTTCTTAAGTGGAACACTGAGTGAAAATGTAAAGGGTTATCCAGCACACTCCAGCAGACATCAAGGGTGCTCTATGTGTGTTAAATGTCAACATTTGATAAGTTGGAAATGAGTAAGTGTTGGCATCTATTAACCTCTGTGACTCCAGAACTGTGGAAACTTTGTTACAATTAACCTAATGCAATGCATCAAAGTATTCATAAAATATTTAAACACCAAGAATAGCTCAGACTGGTGAATAGATATATAGCTTTATGTTGGAGGTCAAAGGGGAGGTGAGAGGGAAGAAAAAGTCCAGTTATTGGCCCGACCTTGAGAAAACCATTAAATCAGAGGGTTTAGAGGATGAGAGTCACCTGCACAGTCTGGTATATAGAAGATGCTCTGAGGAAACTATCCATTAACGGAAACCTAATGCTGCCCTGGTGTTGTTGTGAAGTTCCTGCAATTCTGCTCAATCAGTGGATCCTGCTCTATAATTAATGATAAGTACAGCAGAAAAGAGAAGCCGTCCAACTGCCTTCAGGCACTAGTAATATGCACAGCAGCTAGTCACTGACTTTGTCCATCTGCTGTTTGTTGCTGCTGATGAACGATGGACAGATTTTGTTTTACTAGCAGCAGCTGCTGCAACTGAGAAAGAGGAGCTTTTAGAGGAATCACAACAACAAATCTGTAAGTTAAATCCACTACAGATAGCGCAAACATTGCAACTGAGAGCTGAACTCCCACTGAATTTAAAATGGCTAATTGGAAATGAACTAAATGACTCACGCTAGTCTGCCTCTCTCTATTTAGGACATTTTTTATCCAGAAAGTAAAACAAACATTCGAAAATGTTTACTTTAAAATGTAAAAGTTTAAAGACAATAATAATTGATTTGTCAGCCTCACTTTATCACTACACTCCACCTGCTATTCCTGTATCTACTGAAAAAATATCAGACTTATGTAGTTTCTGACTAAGTGGTCTTATACGTTTATAGGTCTGTGCATATTCTGTGAATTAGATTTTTTTACAGCAAAATAAGAATCTGAGTTGCTTTTTTGTGGTAAAACACATATGAAGAATTTTATCTTTGGTTAATATTCATATTTAAAAAAACACTGAATCCCCCGGGTTGAGGAAACAACACATTTTTTTTTTTCGGATTTCTAGATGGGTACCTCATTCTATAAATACTTTATGCTGCAACTTCAAGAGGTTTCTTCTGTTTCTTCTGCAAACTTTGGGTCCATCTAAATTGTGCAAATCAATAAAGGCACTTCAGCCAAAGTGGAAGTAAGTCAGCGGTCGCCTGATGGGTGCCGTCTAAGTAGTGTTATGGAAGCAGGATCTCTGCTCTCATTGTTCATTTATCTTAAGGAGCTCCTGACATTCCTATCTGGTCAATATGAGCTATACTGCTATACTGTCACCATTCTTTGCATAACACAACCCAGTCACAACCTACCAGATGGATTTTCCCCAAAATACATAATTTCCTCACTTGCAGTCTGTGTGACACGTCCAAATATACGCACATTCATGTGTTTAGGGTTATTTAATGGGATTTCAGCTGTTGGCTACATTTTCCCGAAGGCTGTAGCATCCTCCACATGTGTTTTCTTCGCTTCATGAAGTTCAAAAGGCTGAAGGCTGTTGGGATTCAGCAGAGCAGCCTGGAGCTCCTTTTCTACCCTGGGTAGTTTTCTTACTCTTGACCCCCCCCTTCCCCATACACCCCCCATAGTTAAATGGATAGGAACTAAGAACAAGAGGTATATTTAGCCAAAGTCGGATGGACCCCTTGCCTTTCTTAGGATTGTGTCATGGAAGTAGAGCTGGGTTTAGAGCAAAGCGTTTTTGCAATCGCAACATTTCATGTCATTCATTACTATAATAAACATCTACTCTACCTGAGGTATTTTTAAAAAGCCACTTTAGATTAGGCTAAAGTTTTACAGATTTTCTTTACAGATTAACCCTTTAAAACCAATTGTATCATAATTGATACATGAGCTTTTGAGGACTTTGCATCATCAGTTTGATGTTGCTGATCTTAAAAACCCTGACTTACACAATCAGACACATGTAATGAACAGAAAATGTCTTTAATACTCTACAGAAATGCCTAATGTATCAAAATTGATTAAAATAAACAATCTAATTTAACTTATACAAATTATATATATATATATATATTCTTTTCTTTCGTTTTTCAGAGAGTTCAATGACAACTCTAAATAAAAAAAATGAATTTTCTTTCATTTTTTTCATGGTCCAGGCTTTAAAGGGTTAAAACACAATTGTAGGAATCGCCTTCTTTTTTGATATTGTAACAAAGCTTAAAAGCAAAAAGGTGCAACTGGATGGTTTGATGATGTAACTTTGGATTTTAAAGGTACAGTAGGCCTAAATCTGTACCCATCATAGCAGGGGTGCTTTGCTTTAACTGTGAAACTTAAAAATGGCTGAAAGTTAAAGGTCTCCTTCACATCTGATGAGATTCTGGAAATCCCTGGTGTTTTTATGTGGCCTCTAAACTCCTAGTGATATTCAGCTGCCCTCTACCTCCTTTAATGATATGATATAAAATAATAGTACTGTTTCATGACTCCAACAATTGAGATATAATAATGCAAATATTTTAACAGAGAAAATAAAATTTGAGGTGTTAAACTTGCTGTACTCTTTATCTGTCTTATATCTTCTCAAGCAGCTGTATCTGCCTGCAGCTATCTAACCATTTTTCAAAAATCGAATTGTTTTATTGTTTGTTTGTTCAATAACTACACTGTTTAAGGTGCGTGACAACTGTCTTTCGTTTGTCGCATTCCTGCTGCAGTTACCTCCTTTCTGACATTTAAATGTGCCACAATAATGACTCCCTGTTATAGAACACCATAAAATCTTATTCTTCTTTCCATTTTAATTGAATCACAGCTCAAGGAGACAGATAATGCACCTAATAGCTCATTTAACTTCAAATTAATTTACTAAATAAAAGAAAAGACAGATGGAGGTGAAACACCTCTGAGGAGCTCAAAGATAATTTCATTTTTAAGGTTCACAAAGGTGCTGTTTCACATTTCTCTGAAAAAATAAACTTAATATGATGATATAGTGTAATTGCCTATCGCTGTTTAACATTTAGAATAGTGCAAACACAATGTAGAAATAATTTGTTCAAAAACACCTCGCTGCTGGAAAAATAAGGAATTGGATCTGTATGTTGTTAAATAAGAAAAGACTGCTTCCATGAGTAGAGACCGCTCTAGAATTCCCTTAGGTTGCCAGCACAGACAGTCCAAGACGTGGTTCAGAATACAGAATGCGGAAAATAAAACAGGCTGCAAACAAGATAAACAAACAACAGACTTCATCAGGTTTTACAAGAGGCCAAAAGAATCCCAGGGAGCAGATCAATGACCTGAGTTTCCCTTAAACAGACAGAGCCTGGAGTCAGATATACCTCATAGTTCGTCACCTTCCAGTGTCCCTGACAGCTGGGATGGACCCAGCACAAAGTTTCATGTTTGCTGTAAAAATTATGATAATGAATAATTTTAAAACTTTCCAGAATTGATTTTTCTATTTTAACTATTTGGAAGTTGTGCTATATACTGTATATTTATGTAGTGTTCAGATGTAGTTAGCAGGTAATAATTTTTAAGTTATACCCAGATTTTTCTAGAAAAAATATGTTTTTCTATCTGATTCAATTTTATAATAATAAACGCATGTTTACATTTTTTGCAAGCTGAACATGATCATAAAAAGCAGAAATCAGGGCATAAAAACATCAGTCTTTTTACTAAGATAAATTAACGTCTCACTGATGTAATTTGTTAAATATGGCAGCATATCTATGTTATGATTAGACGTTATCTCATCTTTGCATCTGCAATTTGATGAAAATCTGTTTTAGAGCAGTCAGTTAGTCAGAGTGAGGTACCAGACTCAAGGGGAAATCAACAACAATCCCACTCTCAACAACCTTTAGAAAATTATCTCATTCTTTTTACAAACAAATAAATATTACTTTCCCTTATTATTTAAAACGTATTCTTTAAAAACCAAAATGTGCTATAGACCTAATCTCCCCAATTAGTACAACATCCTAACCTCCAATTATCCATTACTGTAAAACTGTTCATAGCTGTATATTGGTTATTTATTCTCAGCTGCACAGGATTTATGTTGTTGAAACACTTAACAGTACAATTTTTCTTTTTTTTTTTAACTCTTCACTTTTATTTATTTTTTATTCCAAGGTCCACATTTGTGTGACCATTTTCTCTATAACCTTTTTGCTGTTGTAACAACAGAATTTCTCAATTTTTGGACGAGAAAAGGATTTTCTATTCTAATGAAAAGTGTATTTTTGGCTACAGCATAAAATTCAGACACGGAGCACCCACGTAATGTTTCTAAATGAAGGACATGTAGACATGCTAATACAGAGGTAAACACAACAGCAAAATGTCTTCCTGCTATCAAGTGAGGGAAATGACTGATACAGTGGCTGTAATGCAGAATGCCATGAGGGCTTATATAGAGATGTGACATGAGGTGATGAGGAGAACATGCTTACTGCTGTCAGGAGACATCAGGAGGGACAGTTTACATCTATAAACGACAGCAGTATGTAGTTGGGCAGCTGACTGAGCAGCTTACATACAGGGAGCAACAAATTAGGCATCATTGGTTCCACGTCATCTTGTCAAGTAATGTTTTTAACAGCAAAACATTAAAACAAATAGAGCTTTAATATACATATTCTCATCAAAACTTTTAAAAACAATTATAGTTGTTTTTATTTAATTGGTTGCCGTTCATTTTTGGTTTTGGTAAAAGAGAAAATTTGAAGTTCATACAGTAGAACCGCAGAAAAGAATAAAAAACACTAATGATCTTCAAAGTCGGACATAAAGTTTTATTTTATTATTTTGCTTTTTGTTTCGTATTTAGATTTAAAATTAGTGTTTATTTTAGGGCTCATTCACCTATCTAATCTGACTCATGGGACGCCGAAATGGACTGCCACCTTGTGGCTATAGTAGTCACATGTTTTTCACACAATATGTGAAACACGCGGAGCCTGAGTGAAGTGTCCATTTCCAACCAGCGCCCACTGTAGATAGAAAAATGTGCAATTTAATCCATAAAATCTTCCAAATAAAAAGACTGTCATGTTTTTTTTTTTTATTATTATTTATGTATTTTATTATCAAATTAAAAAATGTTGCATTAAATGACACAATATATTGTGGTTAAAACGTAATTCAGCATCATAAATCTGTAATGTTCTGATCAAGAGATGTGAAATAGGATAAGTGTCTGGCATGTTCTGCACATGTGTGAAGCGTTTGATAGGTGAAACACGTTACATCTTTTTTATCATAAGTAAAATGAAAAAGCCAGTCACTGCAGTTTTTAATGTACAAGATGGTGGTATAATATATTATAGTGTTCACTTATATCACGTTTTAAATTGGAGTGGCTCCGGGTGGCAGATATCAGCTAAGCACCTTAGCTGGAAAATTAAAGTATTTTATCAAGAAAAAGACACTAAGAGAGATGAACTGATTATTCTTTTTTTTCCTGGCTTATATAAACGTTCAATTTTCTTTGAGCTCTGACTTGCTGATTCTGATTTTTATCTCACGTAGAATAAAAAAAAAATAAACTTGATGAAAGCACTTCCTTAACTGTCAATAGATTCTTTAAAAACTCGGTCTGTGAAAGAACATCCGCTTGGTTCATTGTTTGAAGACGATGAAAACAAACATGTAAGTATGACTCAGTGACACAGATGAGACAAAATTGTTCCAAAACTTCCCAGCAGTTGCATCAAATACAGATCTGATGCAGAAAGAAAAAGAAAGCATCCATTTTGCTCCCAGTAGAATCAGAAGCCTTTTTATCCATTCATCCTGTGGAAAACGGTGACTGTGGGTCATGCTGTAATAAGAATCCTGCTACAGGGACCTCAGCGGGTAGAAGGGTTAATAGCACTAAAATCAGCACTGGCATACTGCATCACAGCCAGTAACACTGGAAGGTGAGATTTTACTTGAAGTAGCTTGGTTTGAAATGAGGGAATGCATAACAAATGTATGCAGCAAATACAGGCAGAGCTTCTCTTCATCTGAAACAATACCGCATTTAACAAGCTTCATTTATCAGCCTTAAGGGATTGTGAAAGGAGATTATGCCTTTAGGTTTGTGAATTTTTTTTCCTCTCTCAGATAAATTACTTGCACAGCTGTATGATTTATTTTCCATCCAAACTCATCAGTCTTGCATCTCTGGGAGGGAAAATCTGAAGTTATGAAGTAACGTAGAGTGCAAGTCTCCCTCCAAAACTGGTGAAGGCAAATGTTTTGCATTATTACTCTAGATGGGGTTTATATGCCTAAATGCCTTAATTGTTCCCCTAGATTTGCACTGGTTGTTTATTGCCTTACAAACAATGTTAATTGTAAAGTAACTACAGCTTGTAATTTTCTCAGGAGGAACAGCATCCCAGCAGAGAGGTTTCCTGGGCTGTATCAGGTCTCTCATGGTTAACGGCTTGACCTTTGACCTTGAGGAGAGGGCCAGGATGACCCCTGGAGTGAGCTCCGGCTGTCCAGGATACTGCAGTGGCTCTAGCAGTCTTTGTCACAACAGAGGTCGCTGCATCGAGAAGAGCAATGGCTACATCTGCGACTGCTCACAGTCTGCCTACGGAGGGGCTACCTGCAACCAAGGTGAGTCCCGCTCTGTGTGTAAACAAAAGATACACAGTGTAATTCTTTTAATCAATTAACGTTGATCGCAGAAAACAGAAAATCAATCACTGTCAAGGTTATTCCATTACAGAGAACCAATAGGAATACGAGCAATGCAAGAGACAATTAATACTTGTCCCCACTGCGGAGAGAGGGAGCATTTAAAATGCATTAGAACAAATTATCTCCTGCAGTATGTGCACACGGACGAGAGCGTCCTCAGCCTGCACAGGCTGAAGCGGAGCAGGATGAGCAACCTGCAATCTGACCAAGTGACAGAGAAACAAAGTGAACTCTGTGGGAACACAGATGAAAACTGCCTGCAGCTGTGGAGAACCACGCTGCATAGTTCCACTGTTTGCTCCTGCTTATGAACTGAGATCTGAAAACAGCATGAGCCTCAGCTTTGTTTTCTGAGCTTTTTCAGTTTGAACATGTTTCTGCATTTACCAACCAGAGATCTGTTTTTGTGTTGCAGCGACACAAAGAGAGCTGAATCGTAGACATTTCTTTTTTCTGTAGCTCCCTATGGAGGGAGTTAATGAAGAGGGCAAAAGCGTTTGTGTTTTTTTTAAAATATTGAAACACAGTAGAAAAGGAGTATTAACTGGAAGAAAAAAAAAAAAACTAATGTAAATGTGCTAATTGCAGAATTACTTTTTGGATGCCAATTATAATCTCTAAATTAATTTATTTAAAAGTTGTTAGTGGGATTACAGCAACTTACCCTCTCGTTTTGCTGGAGAGCAGCTATTTCAATTCAATTCAGTTTATTTCTATTACGCCAATTCACAACCCATGTAATCTCAAGGCACTTTACAGTTCACCAGATCATACAGTCAAATTGATTCAAAGTTTTTTATCTTAGGAAAACCACTTGATTGCCACGACTCACTGAGTCAAAGGCAATCCCTCATACTAAGCATGCTTGTAGCGACCGAGGAGAGGAAAAACTCCCAGCAGAACCAGACTCAGTGTGAGCGGCCATCTGTTGAGGCCGACTGGGTTCAAGGAGACAGAAGCAGAGATACAAAAAGCAGCTGTAAAAGGCGGCCCCGTCCAGGAAACACACAGCCAGGCAGACGAGCTCCAAGGCAGCTCCCATGTCAGAGGCTGAAGAGAGCACATCCAGCCAGTCACATTCAGAGAAACAGGACTACACTGAAAAATTGTCTGATCTCCAACATCTATAAACAAAGGTGTTGATGGCAGCAGCACAGCTGATATTTCTTTCCAGGATGGAGTCACAGCCAAACAGGAACAGACCAGAGGAAGCTACTAAGAGAAAAAGTAGAGCAGAACGTTAGAGATTGAACTAACAGACTCTGCAGAGTGGGAGAATAGAGACAGAATGAAGCAGAATGATGAAAAAGGGGTCCCTATGTCCTCCTGCAGTCCAAACCTATAGCAGAATAACTATAGAGATAGCTAAAGTAGTTTAGAATATCATTGTTTTAAGTCTCTTTTTAAGATCAAAATAAACCGACTTTCATTAACTATAAAAATACAGACTTTTAAAATCATTGAATCGTTGAATACAATTTTCAGTTTAAAAAAAACAAAAATTCATTTCATTTTCCTCCACTGATTAAGGTGTTAACAGTTGAATAAAAACAAAGTTGATGGAAATCTGTGGTCACGCTTTACTGAGCTGTTTCTCTGAGTGCAATCAGTGTATGCAGATACTTGGTAACTTCTGTCATGTTTTATCTCAATGTAACTTAAATAAGCTCTTATAAAAACAGTGAATTATGCTGATTAAAACATGCCAGTGCCTTAGTTTTAAATATAACACACTGCAAAAACAATCTAGAAATAAGTTACAATTTCTTATATCAAGTGTATTTACTACTAATTTAAGTCGATAAATAAGAGGATTTGCAGATGGAATGAGTATTTTTACTGTTAATATTAGATAATATGAGCTTGAAATAAGACAATGTAATTGTTTTTTTCTTATTTAAAATGTAAATTCTCTTGTTCCATTGGAAAACTGTCTCACTTACATCCTCAATTCAAGAAAAAATGCACTTATTTTAAGAGGAATCCACGTATTTAGATTTCAATATTCTGCAATGCAACAGATCCACTAAATTTCTTGCAGGTGTGAGCCATGTGTCCGAACTCTTGAAAAATGTCATTAAACATTAATTAATTAATTTAATGTAATTAAACATTAAAAAATGTCATTAAACATTAATTTGCAAGGAGTGCAAATTAAACTACAGTATAAACCATTGCACAAAATGAGAGCAAGGTGGAAAAAAACCTGAGCTCAGATTTCCCTCAGCTGACACATGCCAGGCTCCGTATAGTCACTAGGATCACTTTCCCTCAAATATCTTATTTCAGCTAAATTATTCTTTGAAAACAAAAATATCTTAAATTGAAAATTCTTTGAAAGAAATGAACCCAGTAGAGCTCTTAACCAGCCCAGATAGATGCTCACTGTGATTTCTGCAGTCCTTTACCAGAGCTGTACACAAAATGCCTTTAAAATGAACCCCTCCTGTCTGCCACAGTGCAGCTGGAGCTCCCCAATGAGATGCAGTAAATCAACATAGATGCTGGGAGGAAGTGATGCTGGTTTCACCTTTATAAGAAGGTGCAGTCTCTGTTGGCCGATCCAATGTCACCAGCAGATCCATTACCAGCTCAGACTCTCTGGGTTGTATCCCTATTCTACCATATTTTACCACTTGGATTCTGATTCTGTTTTTTTTTTTTCCCTTCTCGGTGTGCCATTATATGTGGTGTTGTGTGCTATGGAAATGAGTTTTCATCTTTTCACCTGACGGGTGAAGAATGAAGCAGATTGATAATCCTTCATCCTGGAGGATAGCAGCTGTTTCTAGATATCCAGTTCTAGGCAGTCTCCTGCAGCTGGAAGTCTTACTCTCAGTCAAAAGGCCCATTTCCATCTGATAAACAGTCTGTAGGGTTTATCTGTGGCCTGTGTTTGTGAGGAATGGGTTCAGGTTCCTGCTTGGCTTCTATATGACTCAACACGTATTTTGCTTTCTTCCCTGTAGATTGCTTTGTTCACCACTGAAATAGCTTGGCATAGATTGCCCCACGGAGCTGCACAATCCCATCTGCTGCGCTGGTGAATTGTGACCACACGCTCACAGCTTATTAAATAGTTTTTCATGACTAATTCAGTACACCCCGGGGAGTATTAGTACAACAAAGAACCAAAGGGAATTATGCATAATAGATCTACCTAAAAAAGTAATTTATGCCAAAGCACGTACCAAAAGTATGTTACAGAAAAAACTGTTCAACACTTTGTATCATCAGAAGACAGTCCTTTAGTTTAGTCTGGGTAGTAAACTCTGAAATCCAAATCAACTGTTGATTCCAGGGTCTCCTTCCAGTGGGACTAGTCCAGAAAGATTTCACATAGAATGGGTTCAGAACCATAACCACCTTCCAATAGAGGTTCCCAAACATTTCGGTTTGTGACCCCAAACAATATCAGATCCACAGACTTGTGACCCACTTAAAAAATGTTTATTCCATTCTATAATTAGTATTTAGTCAAGCAATTATATTTATTTTTTAAATAAATGTATTTCTAGAAGATAACCAGGAGAGTCAGTACCTTTTGGCAGAATTTAGCTGCATACTTGCATTGAAAACAAAGGATACGATATTGATGACACATTCGTCACGAATCAAACAAAACCACAGCCAATGCATGATAACGACTGTTAGAGCATTGATTTTATTCCTGACTTGGAATCTGCTTAGGAAGATACACTTTCTTATACCTAAGAAAAATGTGCTCTCCAATTACTGGACATTGACTTGGGTTGAAACCAGTTTTATGGCTATTTATAAAATAACATTTAATTGTGTAAATGCATTCTTAATTATTTCATGGGATTAATATAAAATAAACTTACATCTACTAATCTCATGGTATATTTACTATTTTATTACATTGGACATTCGCATTCATGTATAACATGTTATGCTTTGGCCCTCCATTACCTCAGGGATCCCGTCACGGTTGTGAAAATAATCTTGCAACCCCCCATTTTGTGTCTTGGGGAAACCCTGGACTAGAATAACATTTTATAATCCGGCTTGAGTCTGCTACGCCGATACATATAGTTACAGGTTAAGATTACGGTTATATGAGGCTTATAATGTGAAAAAGATTATGTGGTTTTTAAAGAATAGCTGTGTCATATTTTGAATAATTATGTATTTGTAACAACAAATAAACTAATATTGACTGGAAACATTTCACAGTAAAGGTGATGATATGTTGTAACTGTTCATTTGACTTGTTTTACTCTTTAAATGTCAGCTCTAGACTTCTTTTTTTTTTTTTTTGCATATATATTGTGTGTTTCAGCTGTTTTTCTGTATAGGTAAGCATAGGGGTCTATGTTCAGCCTTGGGAGCCAACAATGATGTGCAGCAGGAAACCAGGCGCCTTGAGTTGATCCCTTTCACTGCTGTTTGTTGGCAGCAGGGACTGTGGCACTGCTGAGGCACTCTCAATGCAAATGTGCCGTGCAGCATCACAAAGACAGCTGTGAGCCGAGTGTACCACTACACTCTCACTCCTATTCACCCCTGTCATCTTTTATTCCCGGGGAAAAAAACAACTGAAGCTGGAACTTCATCTTATGCATTCAGTAAAACTAAAATGCAGCCATCTTAAAGCAGTACCGGTTCTGATCACTGCAGCACAGCACATGACTCTGTTGTGAAGTCCTCATATCATATGCCTGAAGAATTTCTTTTTTTATTTCTTCTGTGTAGAAGCGTGTAGGAATAAAGTTTTGGAAAAACTTTACATTTCCCATATTTCACAGCCCTCCATCACAGTGGTTATATAACATCAACACCAGGAAGGCTGATCTGATCCTCCATGCTCTACTTTCAAGGCTTGTTTTAACGTGCCATGCTTGTCTTGGAGGATAGGCTTAAGAACTGTGCCAATTTTATACATCAAAGTTGTTTGTAGGTCTCAGAAAGTAGCTCTGGATGAGGGAAAAAGATGCTATGTGAAGGCCTCTGTGGCCCCAGAGAGATCTGTCTCCTAAAATTGCCCCAGGTGATAAAACATAAAATAAGCTAGATTGTTTTGATGCAACCAGGCTTTGCAAGATGGACACTAATGTTGGTTGTTTTAAGAAGTTAGGGAACTGGCATTCATTCATTTCAGCTGTTTTCATAGAACCATGTCTTTGAACACTGCAAAAACAATCCAGAAATAAGTAAAAAATGGCTTAAATTAAGTATATTTAGCCTTAATTTGAGCAGGTAAATAAGATGATTTGCCAATGGAATGAGTATTTTCACTCTTAAAATAAGATAGTTAGATAATATTTACTTGAAATAAGACGATAAAATAGTTTTTTCTTATTTTAAAAGGAAATTGTCTTGTTCCATTGGCAAAGTGTCTTACTTACCTCCTCAAATCAAGGAAAAACACACTTATTTTAAGAAAAAATAACTTATTGAGATTTATATTTTTTGCAGTGAAGATGCACATTCTTTTTTTGTTTCTTGATAAATCCATTCAGGCTATTTAAATGCCCTGATGTGTTTCGCATGAACTTGCACTTCTTACCTTTGTGCTGAGAAAATGTGGATTCTGAGGTTTTCTCATATAAAAGCAACCATTTCTTTCTCTGTGTGTCCCTGCAGAGGTGTCGGTGTCCTTTGACAGAGAGTCCTCAGTGACCTACACCTTCCAGGAGCCTTTCTCAGTGATGCAGAACAGGAGCTCGCAAGCCTCCAGTGCATTCACAGAGAGCAGGGCCAGGGAGGACGTGGCCTTCAGCTTTGTTACCTCGCAGAGGCCAGCCATGCTGCTGACAGTTAGCACCTTCAGCCAGCAGTACATTACAACTATCCTGGCCAGAAACGGTATGTATGGATATAAATCATCAAATACACTCTTGAGACCTATAGTAGTCATCTATTATGTTATAAGAAAACATAAAGATGTGGATTCAGTTAGACAACAGCTTGGCTGTTCTATAGCTTTTCTGTATTTGTTTTTATCCTTATTTCTTTCACAATATCTTTTTTAACCAAAATGATTTCTATGTGTCTGCAAAAATTATCTGAAAAACATACACACACAAAAACAAACAGCTAAGTCAAGCTTCTGGAAGGAGTGGTTTGATATGGATGTAATTCGGTACATGTCCCAGGCTTTTAGAAACTGCAGAGGAAATAGTGAGCAGTATTCCCGTTGGACAAAGATTCTTTAATGATGTCAAATGCCAGACAAATTATATAAAGACAACAGAAGCTAAATGGAAAACTAGAAGAACAAAAAAAAAATGCAGAATTAAATATTTGGTTTGCTCAGCATTTGGGACTTTAAAGCAGCAGAGGAAAATTATTCCACATCTAAATATGAAACATAAACTGACACCACAGTTAACATATTTTCAATGTTGGTTGAATGTTGATTTAAAATATCTCCTGATCCATTGAGTCCCAGTTTCAGCATCTTGGTTGATAGTTTAGGTCAGTGGTGTAAAGACATAAAAGATATTTCTTCTGACATTTTCACACTGTAGATGCAATTGCACATGCCAGTCCCTATGTATTTCAGAGGACTATTGACCACAATTTCCTTCCATTTATGACCATGTTGAACCATATTATTCCAACTCCTTTCAACATAAAAAATGCATTATATAATCCCAAACTGGTGTCCAGAAGATCACTGTAAAAACTTTCTAGAATGTATTTTACCAGATCTCCTCTGTGGATTGACGTCAAGCTGAAGGAGCCAACCAGTCTGCAGCAAATGAGTGATGCAGTCACATTTCCATGTCCTTCAGCAATCTTCCCAACACCTTATGTCAATTGAAGACTAAGGGGGTCATAAGGCAAAATGAATTAATATAATAAAAAGTAGGGATGCACGATATAATTAGCCCCCTATCGGTATCGGCCTTAAAACTGAATATCGGACATCGGCCACCCCACCGATATTTAACCCGATATTTGATCAGCTTCTGAGTTTCTAAAGTCTAAAAAAAAACACTACTACTGCTTCCTCAAAAACTTCTTTTTTACAGACTTAAAAAACTTCTAAAGACAAGGAAAAAAATATTGATACATAAAAATATCACAATATCTTCATATGCTGATATATTGCCATTTAAAAACACCATATCAATCTCTTTTACTAATGAAATATTGCTATATGTCATCATTATGCTACGAAATCCCCCGAAAATCCACGAAATTTTGCCATATTTTTATATGTTGATATATTGACGCGGTATCCATGTATTTTACTAACAAAATCTCACAAGAATTTGCAAAATATCACGAGAGTTTGTAACAGAACGATGAAATTTCACGAGACCTTGAAAGTAAAATAGATTGATACCGCGTTTTTAAAAATCAATTTGATATCAGCATATGAAAATATATTTGAGTATATTATTTTTCAAAGTGTCAGAAATGGATAACAAAACTGCTATTTTCAATGACTACTTATTTTTGTCCAGCTTTAACATCGGTATCGATATCGGTTATCGGCTACATGAGTTTTAAAATATCTGCATATCGGATATCGGCCAAAATACCAATATCGTGCATCCCTAATAAAAAGGTGTACCTAAAAAGAATACAAAGATTGTCATCTATGACGTCTTTACTTGCCAAAGTCTGCTTGAACCATGCAGCCTCATTCAAGCCCAATATAACCCTCTATGAACTCAAATTCAATCAAATGCCTTCAATGATGTGGCTACAAGGTATTCTCTTTATTTGGTGACCTTCAGACTGTAGGACTGACTGTAGCAGTGCTCAGAACATCCCTCCGTAACTATATATGTCTTCCACAGCCCATACAAAGATTTACACTCATGATTTATCTCTGGTTGAATTTGTTAAACTGGTAGAATATATTTAAAATCAAACCATCCTATAATTTCAGGCTTATAAGTGAAGGTGTGTCTTAAATTTCTCAGCCTGAAATCTGTCCATGTCCATAGCAAGTTTTATTTCTCACTCATGTCATTCTGCTGAAGATGATTTATAGTATTTTCCCACCAAGCCCCAAAAAGCTGAGGGGAGAATTGTTAGTAATAACTTGAAAATGAAATTACCCACTTTGAGCTTTTGAATTCGCTGCTGCATTCAATACTGTAGTTTCTTCAAAACTATTCTGGGTGTTTAATGTGGCCCCTGGCATTTTCAGATGCAGGCTGTATTCTTCCACTATACCCAGTGGTGGGGTTGCTCAGTGGGAAAAATTTCTACTGAGTAACCATTCAGCAGCAAACACTGAAATCTTCGATGACCCCGGGTGGGGAGGCACCAGTGCCAACACAATGTGCTCTGTAGCTCTAAAACCAATGACATAAAACAGTTTTTTTATGGCAACGCAGCTGTTTTTGAAATGTTAAAAAACCTCAGAAGGAGGTCTCCCAATATGAGGGCCTTTTTTTTTTTATATCTGTCCTCAAAAGTAATGTGTTTGCATGAAAATGTTATTTAGAGCTTGATGCTGTCAGTTGGATATATTATATTTACATCACCTGTTTAGTAACATGTCCCCTATTGATTTAAGAATTAAAATCCTATTCATAGCTTCCTGTATCAATTGTATATTAATACATCTTGCAGATAAATATTAGCTGCAACAAATAGAGCATGAAGAGGTCTGGTTATGTGTTTACATTTACATAATAACGGATGCATTCTGTCTTTTATAACCTGTTTATTATTCAGACAGAGCTGAGATTTATCAAAGGCATTGCATAATTGATGTGATTATAAGATGTATATGTCTATATATATATATATATATATTAGGGGTGGAACGGCTCACAAAATCCATGGTGCAGTTTGATTCACGGTTTCGTGGATACGGTTTTCGGTTCATTTCGGTATATGTTTATTGTTACACCGAAAAATAAAAAAATAATTAATGAAAAAATAAAAATTTATGAAATTAATGAAAAAATCAAAAAAAATGTATGAATTGTAATTATTTTAATGATCCGCGGAAACCCTGGATCATTTCCGCATGTTTTGCTGCTATGAATTTAATCATCTCGTGCATGTCCTCTACGATCTCCAAGGAACTCGGAGCGGAGCGGACGGGAGCCACAGTGGAGGCTGTAGGCTTTGCTTTGTGCAGGCGGTCTGGAGCGGAGCGGGGGGCGGAGCGCTGACGGAGTATGTGGGATTTCGGGGTTAGCATGACATGTTGGTCATGTTGCTGTTAGCATGAACAAAACGTGTTGCACAATGCTTGCACACTGTTGCACTTTTATCCACAACTTTCTTTCCGCCGTCATTGTAGGTCACTCTAAATGCAAAGTGGTCCCATACAGCAGACCTATAAAGTGCTGCTGGCGCGTCTTCCAACTCCTGTTCTTTCCCACTCGCCATACCCACACAATTCTCCACAACAACTGATTTTTGTTCTGCTACGCTGCTTCGCTTCTTCTTCTTGTTTATTACTGGTGGTTGGCTTTGGTCGCAGTCTCACCACCTGCTCTGGAGTGTAATCGCTTCGCCTATGAGAAAAAGGAGCAGCGCATGAACCAAACGCAACACACGCGAACCGTACCGAGACAGTCGAACCGAACGGTTCAGACGGTTTTCATAAACCGTATATATATATATATATATATATATATATATATATATATATATATATATATATATATATATATATACATATATATACATAAGTGTTTCATAGAATAACTGCCATCATGGCTTTGTCAAGCGGCTGCCTACTTTTGTGAAGCAGGAAAAAAGACTAATACAAAATAAATCCAGTAGAGCTTTTTATTGCCTTCTTGGAATGGATGGCAATAGTTGAATAAACTTTTCGCTCTCAAAATGGTATCGGTGCCCTATTTGTTGGTATTCGCCGATAGCACCATTTAAGTGCTGGATCGGGGTCCTGCCAGATACTGCTATGGGTATTGGTGCAACACTAAGATATATGTATCTAAAACAGTTTTTCCCTGTAATGTTATCATTCTTACAACAGGCTACGGCAAGCCGATTTGATTTGTATTTGACTTGATATGTATTCTTATATCTCAAAAAAAATTGTTTACGTGGTACCAATGTCTAATTCTTAATTCTTTCTAGTACAATTAGTTTTCTTTTACTTCCTGAAATTCAGTTTCTGCTGGCAAAAATCTGCTATTACAATCAGACTAGGAATGTGATTTTGACCAGGTAAAATCCTATTTTAGTGATCGATAAATGGAACAATAAAGAGGAGAGGCCTTTAATAAATTTAAGAATGGCCTGCCATAGAGACTTTAAGAATGGCCTGCCATAGTCCCTTCACAAAAAGTGTATGCTTTAAGTTGAGCAGCAGTCTTTGCTATCTTCCTCTCCTTTGCAAATGTATTCTACAATGTTTTATTCATTTCTGCATTAAGAGTTCTAGTTCCAGTGGTTTGAAATAGGCACTTCCTGTCGTCATGGTGACTTTTCAAATCTGTGCTCCACTTTCATACGTGTTACGCACCTATTTAACTCTGAGTGAACCTACTAAGTGTTGACTACTAACTCACAGCAGCCATTATGAAACTAATTACTCAGTGTTCCAAACCTTAGTCTAGATCAGAGGTCAAGGATTAGCGGACCACTGTCCGGATCCAGACCCACCAGCTGCTTAACCTGGACCCAACCTGATTTAAAGCATTTATAAATTACCACGTGTTGTCTGACGAGTGTCTAAACCTCACTTGGGCTGCTTCTCCTGTTACCCTGAAATCCCACATCCTCCGTCAACGCTCCACCCGCAGCACTCCAGACCTCCTGCGCAAAGCAAAGCCTACAGCCTCTGCTGTTCCTCCCGTATTGCTGCACTCCGACTTATCCTCGGAGCTCGATGAGAGCATGTGCAATATTATTCA